GCCTTAAAATTTCTTAGGAAAAACGTGTATACACCTATGTATATATTGCTATTAGACAGTTATATGATATAATGACACCTATTTCATCTTTAGCTGGTTCTGTCTGCAGATTATTGAGGGGCGTAGTAAGCCATATTCCAGATATGAGAGTACCTCAGCTTAAGCTAAAAATTTACTTTCCATGTCATTTCTTTTGAAGGGGATACAATAGTAATTTCATTATTAAGAATTTCTAAATACTTCATATTACTAATAATAAGAAAATTGATAATAATAGTTAAAATAAGAAATCGATTTCTAAACTCAAATACATACAGTATATACATATATACTATGATAGACTTGTAGCTAATAGATGACACTGTATAGAAACAGAAAATACAACAAAAGTTATTAATGTATATATATATCTATATACTTATATACATGTAATACTAAAAATTTCCATATAGCAACAAACTAAAGCACGAAGAGAGAAACTTGCAGCCCGCAATGCTTTAAAGCAAATAAACAATTATTTATAGCCACGGAAATGCTAGTACACACTCCCATCTATAACATTTCCGTTAGCATATGGTTAATCTCTAGCTATGTGCTATATCACATACCAATCGAATGCCCCTAAGTACCCGTGGGGTTGCCACGCATTTACAACATGTTCGGCCTCGTTTTGTTTATGCAAATGCGATCGAATTTTTTTTTCAATTTTTTGGCTGGGGAAAGCCAAACAATTTTGGGAGCTTTGCATAAACGTAAATAAACTATTTTTACACATTATTTGCACAATTGTGTTTTTTCTTCTTTTCTTTGCTTTTCGTATTTGTAATTTCTTTTACACACACAATTTTTTGTTGTGTGTGCAACAACGAGGCCAACTTCAAACTTTTACTAACTGTTTCTGCAGTTTGACTTTTGTTCTGGCTTTTTAAAGGTGATTTTTTCACGCTTAATAAATTTGGTAAAAAGTTTGAAAATTGTTTTCAGCTTTCAACTTTTATATACCTATATACATATATCTTTTCATTTGAACGCCATTTAACTGCGTAGAGTTTTGCCTATTAAAGACGCAAAAAAATAATAATCAGCAACTGAATCATTATAATTATGATCATTAACTTACTGACTGAGTGAGCCATCGAGAAAAAAACGTAAAAATCTACAAAAAAAATACTGTTGCTCTTTGTTTTTTTCGTTTTGTTTGGTTTTTGTTAATTTTGAATAATTTATGTTGGTTTGGTCTTTGACTCTGCCTCAGGGTTTTTCTTTCTGTCTTTCCGTTGGGCTTTGGCAGCTTTTTGTTTCTGTCGAGTTTGAAATTGAAATTTACAAGATATCGAACAGTCATTCAACCTAAACGTTTGTATTCTATATAGGGCTTAACCTAGTTGGCTTCATTCATTGTTTTAGAATTGTTGATTGATTTAATAGAAAAATGAAAAAATTTCTTTTGCTTGTAATATCATTTAATAATACTATCTTTAATTTTATTTTGTTGCTTTTATTTTTTACGAAATTTGATTTTAGTTTAACAATTATAATTTTATTAATATTTAATTATAGTTTTAATAAGGTTTTCTTATTTTTTTTGTTTAAGTCACGTTTAGAAACAATTATTCTAGCTAACAAATTTTATAGAATATATATTTGTGTACTTCAAAATTGAGAGCAAAAAACGTTAAGTGGAAACCGTCCTAGATATTTCTAATATATATATATATATATATATATATATATATATATATATATATATATATATATATATATATATATATATATATACATATGTCTCATTATATGTGATTAGATAACTGATATATAGCAAGCCATAAAATATAAAGTTCAGGCACTTGACATTAATCTAGTTTAGATTGATGAAGTTGAGTGGCTTAAGCTGAAGCGATTTGTGTTACTTTTTTATATCTATGTTATCTATATCTTTCTCTCTCTTTCTCTCCTCTCAATTTCTCACTCTCTCTCTTTCTATCTCTGTGTCTCTTCTCTCTCGCTCTCCTTCTTACTTTCTCATTATTCTCTTTGAAATCGGAAGCTCTTAAAATTGAAATTTTTTACTAAGTATTAATGTACCAATATATAAGCACACATTATCAACTAGGGTATTTAATTTTCGTTGTTCTATTGATAAGTATTTCTATTTGTTATTTCGAATGTGGGTTTAATTTGGTGTTATCTGGAATTCGGTTTTCAAGTTCATTTTGTTTGCCATATCTTGGCAGCAATTAGCGAAAGTATTTGCTGATTGCAAATATTTATAATGAAAACACGAATTCTAACTAAGCAATAGAACAAGCCAAATCAAATTAACCAATAATTATATTTATAGAATCGAATACATATATGCCTATATATATATTTATATGTACGTTCAATTGTTAACTAGTTTTGAATTGAGAAAAAGAAAAAACACATCAAGTAAATGCCGATAAAAGCAATAACCAGATTTGATTTTGGCCGCCTTTAATTTATTCCCATTGCGTCGTTTTTTTTTCATTTTTGATGCCTCAAATTTCAGGTTTAATTAATTTGCAAGACGAGTAGGTAGCAAAGCAAACGTTTTGGCCAAAACAACTTTAATTTGGACAAAACAATTTAGTGACCATCAGAAACAGATATACATACATCTACACATATATATATGGATATATATATAGTTGTATATATGCCTGTTAATATGCCAAAACGTGCTGAAAGCTGAAAGACACATTCGGTTTGAGCACTATTAAAGGGGATTAGAGTTTAGCGTTTCCCACTCGATTTTTTAAAGCAAATAATTAGCATTAGACATTAACATTAAAATTGGTCGTTTTTGTTTTTGAACAACTTTTTAGAATATACGAGGTCTGTACAAAAAGTTTTACAAATTTATGGTTATATTTGTGATAATTATTTGCTAGGGTTAAGGTTGGCCAAAATTTTATAGAGATTCAATGCTCCACTTTTTGGTATATCCAAAAATCGAAGATGAACCAAATCACGTTCAAATAAAACAGCTAAAATTTACTGAACATTCGTAAAGGCCAAACTTGGGGCTTGGGTAAGATTTATATGTAGCATCATAAAGCTTAATTGAATAAGCCTCAATAACCAACTCAATATTTTTTGAACAGATCTCGTCTTTGTAAATAAATTTTGTCTTGGCCCATTTAATAAATAATATATTAGTCTCTTAGGAACTGTAAAAATACTTCGCAGCCATTAGAAATTGCTTAAATGTGCTGCACATCAATTTTTGAGACAACATTTCAAATATTTTACCTTGCCTCAAGTTCATTTTAATTTATATATTGTGTTTGAAAATGTTGCAATTTCACTGCTCAATGCTTATACAATATGGCATAGATCTTGTGTCTGATATATATATTAATGAAAAATCTTGTCTTGCTTAGCTGTTGTTGCTTGCAAATTGCTCAACCTTGAACTAATTTCTATTTAAATAATCTTTTGCCAGGCTCTCTCTGCAAATGTGCCAGAAAATTGCGTCACACGCGCAACAAATAAAAAAAATATTTAAAAATTATAAAAAATTAATTTCTTCTGATTTCCATTGTAAACATTTAACATGCAATGCAAATTACGGCAGCAATTAGCTAACATCAGACATTTGAGTGCTAAAAGTCTGTCAAATAGTGCGATATTTATTTATTTATTTTGTGTAATGTTTTATATGGACCACATTCTATTTGTCTATGAATTGTTCAGAAATTTTCCATTTTGAAAAATTGCTTCAAATCTATTTTCGGTGCATATTATAGACATGCGTTTTGGCCACTCGCCAGCTAAGACAGTGCGTGGTCATCATATGTCATCTTTTTTGTTTTTTATTTTGTATGCTGCATAGAAATGTGGTTTGGGCGGAATGAGGATTATGGTAATGCTTGGACAGCTGCCGCCTTATGACAGCCGCGCGAAGTCTTCGTAGCTGCACTCCAACTGAAATGAATCACAAAGCATTTAGCATTTAGACTTTTTTGTATAATTATTTACACATTGCTGTTCGTTAATGAATTGTTTATAATTTATATGAAATTTTCAAAATGAAAGTAATCAAAAAACAAATGCTGTTTATGTTAACAAATTGCGTGCGCACAAAGCAAAAGGTTAATAACATTTGAAGTAATTATTATCGAGATGAATCGTAGGTATATACAGCTTACCAATAATGTCTGCAGAAACTGTTTATAGAGCCAAAGTGAAATGAATACAATTTTAATTATTTATTCAAAATATAATTTCAGTATGTTAGTTAGCTCAAGAGTTGCAACTTATAAGGTTATTAGAGCTTTTAAGTTACTGCTGTACGAAAACATTTATATAGTTTATGTATATATGTAGGCTGACTTAACAATACAATTTTAGATAACTATATTTTGGTACTAGCTTAGTAAACAAGTCGATTTTAATCTAACATCTCAAAGATGTTTTCAAATGATTTTAGTTTTGAGTGAAATTAAGTTGTAGCTACATTTTCCTTGAAGCTTAAAGTTCTGCCAGCATAGCCAGGTTATCTCTATCTATAATAGTTTCAAAGAAAAAGTCAAAAATAAATTAATGTCTCGAAAGTTGATATTTTATTGGCATTTCTTGTCCTATTGTTCTTACTTGGTCACCCTCCATTTAACTAACTATACACTATAAAATATCTAGTATCTACATTTTGTTAAACATGATGTCATCCGGCTTTGAGTCTCATTCTAAAATTTCACTGATAATTCAATTAATGCAAACATTAGCTACAAGCGTCGGCAACACATAAAGCCAAGATACACAGAGAGTGAGTGGAAGAGAGAGGGGGAGAGGGGAAAAGGTATCTGCTTACTAGGAAATGTATCTTATCTTTTGTTTTTCGTTTATCAGGCAACTTGTTGTTGTCGCCTTCTGCGACAATCGACAGTTTGTTGCTTGTCTTACATTTAATTACAAATTGCATTGAAACTGTTTGTACACAATTTTCTTATGTTTTCTTTACGACATTCTCATTGCAGAGGAGCAAGAACGTGTGCAGAAGAAGACATTCACTAATTGGATTAATTCATACCTATCGAAGGTGAGTTTCTGTGTCTCTCTCAATGTCTTCGTATCAGCTTAATCGATGCGAAACACAATTTTTATCTACATTCTCTGGCCGTGAGATTTGCATATCGATTGCGCATTAGTCAAGACGACAAAAAAAAACAAAACGTGCGAAATCGTGACATGGCCCTGAAATATAGTTCGTGTTTTTTTTATTTTTGCAAAAAATGAATTGCGTGCTAAATTTTTAATTAATAAATGAAATGATTTCAGTCCGGTTTGAACGTGGACAAATTCCCAAGTGATCAGCGCCAAGTGCAGTTAGAACTGCAGCCGTCTTCTAGCCCACTTTCACCTTGCTAACAGACGTATATGTGTATCCTTTCTAATTTAAACACCTCACAGCGCCAATTTGGCCAACCATTCCATTCACTCTGATAATTGCCAAGACATTTCAGTCAATTTACAGCTGACAACCAAGAGGCGTTTACAGTTAGCTGGTGTCGCATGCATCTTGGACTGGAAACAGTTGTGTGATATAATATATTGAGATAGTAGTTGAGGTTTTAAAGAACATATATAATATAGTGGAGTGATGGCTTGAGTTTCTGCTTGATATTGGCTTTAGTCAAACCTAAAAGATAAAAAAATGAGTAAATAAATTAAGACATTTTTTGTCATTTATTATTTGAGCTTAGCAGCTGATCGGAATGCGTATATATATACATATATATGAAACAGAAAGGCATTGTCAACACGCCCATTTTTAAACACTTCATTAAACATTTTTAAAATAATTTTTACAGCCTTCTCGTAGCTTTTATTAGACATGACACAGCGCATTGATGCATTCATGATATTATGACTGCAATAATTTTTAAAAATAATTGCAAAAAAAATAAATATGTACGGCAAACTCGTTGAAAGTCCACAAACAGTTATTATATTAGCTAGTGTGTTAAATAATATATTTTTTGGCATTGTCATTGCCTGGGCGAACCATAAAATTTAAATTTTTAAATTTTTAAATTTTTATTGGCAATTTTTATTAAAAACCTATGCTATATAAAGTTTTTTTCTCGCACCCAATGGTCGTGGATATATATATATTGAAGCATATTCTCGATCTAGGGACTATAGAACTTGAGACTGGAATCTATACTCGTGTACATATATATATCGAGAATATGCTTTAAATTGCAAGTCTCCAACTTCAGACAGATGGACAGCAAGAGAAACACTGTGCTAAACCAATATACTCTTTTCACCTTGCGAACGAGTATAACTGGAAAATATAATGAGTTAGTATAGCATTTCGAGTCGACGTCCTGCCTTGAGAAACGATACTAAGCCTTGTTTTGCACGTCTCTAAAACCGGACTTTCGTTTATACTTTGCCTTATTATTCATTAAATATTTTATACATGAATTTACACAATTTAAAACTTAAATTTAAAATTTGATATCTCCAAACACAAAATACATGTATATTTTAAATTTTAAGACAAATTTGGAATTTACCAAAAAGTTTTTAGTCAAACAGCATTTTTAGGCCCATTTATATTTATGCTTTTCTACAAAAGATTTGTAATTTGAGTCAAATCAAATAAAAATGAAACTATTTTGCTGCTTAGAATTCCACTCAGAGTATAAAGTCAAGTTGGCTTTACAGGTTCTAATCGGCGACTCGCCTTAGCCTGTTTACAGCCTGGGCTTAATACCTGTTCTTAGCCGTTCATCTAACGAGCCTTAATGACAGCGCAAACTTGTATTTGTTTCAATGTTAGCAGTCGCTCAACAAATTAAAAGTGAAATACACTGCACTACACACACCCACAATAATGACAACAGCAAAAAAAAAATTGAGTTAAAGCGAATCATGCTCGTGCCTGGCTATTGAGCTGTCAGCCGGAGGGTAAAAGACGGCGGGATTCATGCCGAAATATGCGACAGGCGTGTGATGCTGGCTGTTGTTATTGTTGAATTAGTTAATAAATTTTAATCAAATTCCGTGAACAAAGAGCACAGTGCGTATTCGGGTCGTCAACTGAATGGAATGAATAACTGACTGACTGACTGACTGACTGACTGACTGAGTGTGAGAGTGAATGACGTAACTGGTTCACCTTGAACCGAAATAGTTACTCAAAAAACTTGAATTTGGCTTGGAATACGCCCATTTTGAGGCATTGTCTACAATTTGTTTGAATGACAGAAGAAGTACTAACTAATATCTAGCAGCTACACGGATGTACACACGCTGTTAGGCGCAAATTGACGGACGCTCCATAGCATATACAAATTTAATAAATTACTTTTAGTTAGCACGTCGACAATAGGCAACATTCTGTCTAGCTATCGACAATTTCATGTTTTACTCTCGATGAAATGTGCTAATGAATTGTTGTTGTGCAATTGCAAAAAAACTCATATGAAAAGAGTTAAGAAAACATTGAAGAAATCGTAGTTGTTTTTTGCATACTAAATGAATCATTTGCATATTGCATAACGGACTCAGCTCAACAGCTCTGCAATTGGCTGAAATATGACTTCAATCAATGATCTCATGAACTACCCACGCCTCATTTTTTTAAAGGTTTCCCCATTTCCTTGACACGTCTGCAATAATTTTAAGTGTTGTCAAGTTTTTAGCTTGAAAAAATGTAGCTAGTTGAGGCATGACAAAATTTTGGCTTCTTAACAGCTAAATTGCAAGTCGATTGAAAAGGCTTTGATTGAAATACATGTTGTCTAGGTTTATTTGAATGCCAAACTAAATTGACTTCGTTTTGTAATGAAATTTTTAATTCTATGTTTCAATATAGAAATAGCTAAACAAATTTGTCTATCTGGAAGGTCTGGAATTCTATTTAGCTGTCAGTAAAAGGGCTTGAAATATATTTTAAATTACTAGAAATTAATTTTAAAAATTGCATCATAGTATAAATAGTAAAAACAACAAATTAGGAGCCTTATTGCTGTCATCAAATGATTAAAAAAGAAATCAAAATAATTTTATTCATTCATTCATTCAGAACTTAATATGGGCTTGGTTTGCTTGTAGTAATGAGGCATCTCTATTTCCTTAGCTAAACTAAACAAACAGTTGTGTTTATACTGGAAGATACTAAAAGATAGATTAACATACGATTTTCATGCCATAAAAGTTAGTTTTAATAGTCCAAGCATTGATTATGCTGAGAGACATTCAAATTGACTCGACTCAACTCCTGGACCAAATGTTTTATATATGACTTATGGCCTGTGGCACAGACTTTCGTTGATTTTGTCCATGTCAACTGACTCATAGCGTGCTTATAGGCATAAGTAAAGATAAATTACTCTAAGCTGATTATACTTGTAGATATTCATCAGTTTACTGAACTTTTCCACGTTGCATAGTTATTTTATATAAGCTTCTTCTGGCTACAATATTAATAATTTCGACCTCTCCCGAATATATAGAGACTTGATACATGTTTTCTGCATACAGTAGAAAAGTTCGTATGTTTTTTGGCTACTTTTGAATGGCGATTGCCCGCTGGCTAGCCAACAGGCTGGATGAAAGGAAAGGTCATTTGCTCAACACTGGCTATATGTATCTGCGACTCCTTTTATTGCCAGTCACTTTGTCGAGTTGAGCGCTTTACGACTATGGTCGGCTCTCCGGCTGCGCCTTATCGAGAGCTTGCAATGCCCGCAATGGCATTTGGGGCCAGAAGAACTGGTTTTTATGGCCGGCCGGCAAAATGTTGTAGTACATGTGCTCAAGCGCAAGAGATACACGAAAACGAAATGCCGGCTCACGTCTGCAGATTGAAGTTGTATTAAAAGATAACACATTAGAGACCAAAGCAAACGTATCTCCCGCTCTCTATGTGGAGTGCCTTACGGAAAAGTGCATTAAATCAACGCTCGCTAGCCCGAAAGTAAGTCAGTGGGCGTTGCATATTGTTGCGTGGGCTGCGAATGGATTGTGAATTGTGGATTGTGTTGTGCGGGCATTAATGGCAGCAGCTGCCACTGGTGCCAAGCCAAGCCAAGACTGTCCGGGCCACACATGCAACGGAACTGTTGCCGTTGTCATTAATGCAGCATTGTTGCTCGACTCAGCTCCCAGCACAATTTTTTTTTTTCATTCGGTTCTCTTTATAGGCCAACGCATGTCTGGCTATGAGCTTGGCTAGCACGTAGCCAGCTCTTGAGCATTTTGCATGCTTTGAACCACACTCGGTCCATGTTGCCATTGGGCTTTGAGGAATTTCTCGCATTGGCAAATTCCATGAACGTCTTAGGTGCGTGCCTACCTTCCAGTTGACTTTAAGTTATTCTTAGAAGCAACGCACTGCAGACAATTGCAAAGAATCGCAGAGCAAACAACAGCCAAGAATGGTTTGTCTACCAATACGCCAAAGCTCTTGACTCTGCTAGATGTTATCTATTTATATTCTGCCAAGCTTCAGACTGGTAAACAAAATAAGTAAGAGGCTTGCGACATCTATTTTTATGCGAGAATTTACATGACGATATGTGTCTGAAAGATATATAATGCCAATCAAGACACGTTATAAATTCAAGCCACTGCTTATGTATGTGTTATGTTTCTGCTGATTTTACTTATCTGTTAACAAATTTATTTTTTTAAATAATTTTAAATATGCATTTTTATTTAGCTTTAGATTTCAATTTGAATTTCATCCAGATTCCACTTAAAAAGCTGCAATGTCTGAAAAGGATTTGCAGAGTTTTCCAAGTTGAGTCAATTAAAACAAGAATGCCGGCAGTGCCTGACTAAAATATACCTTGAACATTATATATTTATACAAATGAGTCTTTACTCAGTTAATATTTTTTCCACCCTTTTTTAATTTAAAATGTAGAAGTTTTTGTAATTTCTTCACTGAATTCCATCTAGGTTCTAGTTAAGATTTTATTTTACAATAATTCTATAGATTTCAATACAGATATATCCCTGTACTACTAAGAACTTATATTTTATTCAACAAATTTCCACACATTTTATACAATTAAATGTGGAAAAAGTTCATCATAAACGTTAATTAAGAATTTTATTCTTGCTAATTTACTAATTAAATTGATTTCAATTGTTATACAAAACTTAAATGAAAATCCATCCAGATATTGCCACTTTTAATACGAACTTCTCACAATACAATAAATATGAAGAATCAACAAAAATTGTAAATATCAGCATAAGCAAAAGTTGGCAACAAACAAACTTGACAAGACAAAAAGCTGTTATAAAAGTTTGACTCGATTGCCAGACAACACCATAAATTGTGCTGAGAAGTGCAAAGAGAGGCGTTATTGCTGCGAAACAAGCGGAAATACAGAAATTGAATTCGCATTGTAAGTAGCATAGTTTCTTGAATAGTTGCAACAACTTTCCGGCCAGGCCAACGCGAAATAGACAAAACTTTTGCCGTCATTTGCATGTCCGCAACAGTTGAGGCCAAGTTTTCACAAACTATTTGGCTCAACTCTTATGCGCGCGGCTCAATTAAATTGTAAACTCAAATGATAATGGCTGTTCGGTCATGATTTCTTTGGTCGTTGCCATTTCCGTCGTAATGCCATTAACTTAAATTGCAATCTGTGCGGTGAATCCGGCTTAAATGGTCGCGCGTGCCACTCGACAATTTGTCGGGCAAGGCAAGAGCCAACCAAATTAGCGCCGCGCACAGATCTATCAACTTAAATTAATTTAATGTGATTTACGTTAATTATTTAGCTACATTTTAGGCATATCTTGACGACAAATTCGTCTGCTGCAATTGATTAATTACACGCAAAGGCGAAAATGTTTTAAGTATTTGGCGCTTCATAAATTATATTGATTGAATCATGCATTGCATGGCATACGCAACTCGTATATATATATATAGCATATATACCTCTTTATATATGTTTCTGTATATTCATTATGCACTTAGTTAATGTGCTCATAAAAAGCCCATTAAATGTTGCAGCAAATGGCACTTCAAAGTCGGCGTTGACGTCTGTCCATTACGCTTTAATACTTATTAAACAATGCATTTATGTGTTCACTTATATATATATATATATACGAACTCATATATAACGCATATAACATTTTAGAATACAGCCGTATTTAAAGTTCAGTTTAATGAACTTTTTTTAAAGCTCACATTGATGCAATTATTGAAATATATTTAAAATTTTTAATATTGTTATGCAAACAATTATTTCGTGTAGCTTTTCCATTCTGTTATATTTAAGTAATATCAAATAATTTAAGAAAAATATTTATAAAATTCTGAATACATTTTTTTTTTTAATTTTTAATAGATTAAAATTTGACTTTTTAGCCTCAGCTAGAAAAAGTTAGATATTTGTATAGCATTAATTAGTGAAATCAATTTGAGTTTAATGTATTTTAAGACTCGCAGTCGGTTGGCACAAAAGGATTATATAAAGGCATACATTTTAGGAAAGATATTTTAGAGATTGTATATATTCACTGTGGATACCTCCACAGGTTTCTATGATATCAAATAGTTTAAAATTTTTTAGAAAATAAAATTCGTTGTAAAATACATTGAAATCTAAGAAAAAGCTTAGTATAATTTCTCTAGAATGTTTTTATTACTTTTAAAAAATAGAAATAAATATATATAAAATCTGAATAAAATACATATAAAAATAATATTAAAAAATTAATAAATTCTCACTTTTTCAGCGTGTTCCACCGCTTCGTATTGATGATTTAATCAATGATTTACGTGATGGCACAAAACTCATCGCACTGCTCGAAGTGCTGTCCGGCGAACGTTTGCCCGTGGAGAAGGGCCGCGTCCTGAGACGTCCACATTTCCTTAGCAATGCGAATACGGCCTTGCAATTCTTAGCCAGCAAGCGCATCAAATTGGTCAATATTAATCCCGCAGATCTGGTGGATGGGAGACCACCAGTTGTGTTGGGTCTGATATGGACGATCATATTGTACTTCCAGGTGAGCATTTGCATACTATAAGCCAACACACCTCACACTACAAGGTGCACAGTTTTTTTTTCACGAAAAAATTGAAGCACTCGAACAAAAAGAACAACAACAACAACTAATTGGTTGCTAGCGGTACACTTTGTCACCCCTAATTTCGACCACCAACTTATGAAGCACCAAATAGCTACTCACAATGCCAATTATATGAATGTAATTAACCCTCTATATCTTCTTTTTTGTATTTTATTGAAAAAAAAAAAAACATTGAAAAAAAATATTAATAAAATCTAACAAAAAACAAGCTTCGTAAAAAGAGGCGGAAAAACTTAGTTGTAGTTATAAATTATGCGCCAAAGGTAGGTTGAAATCGTTGTAAACAGTTGTTGGTGTGTTGTCCATGCGTAACTCTCTCATTTTCGATAATTAAGTTCTTAAGTTGGTAGTCTCGATCGTAAAAGCACTCAAACTTAACTTATGATTTGATCATTCAGTGTCGCTGATGCCTCTATTAAGTATGTCTCTCTCTAATATCAAATACTTTCACAGATCGAGGAGAATAGCCGCAACCTAGAATATTTGGGTCATGGTATTGGCGGTTCGGTTAGCTCACTCGACAGTGTTGGCAATCATAAGGCTGGCGGTGATCTGAGAGCTGAGAAGTGGAAGCAAGGTGCCAAGAAAACGCTACTCAATTGGGTAACAAACGCCTTGCCAAAGTGAGTACCAGACTCAAAGTGCGATTATCGTTCGTAATTTAATGCTTTGCGATCTTCCTTTGCAGAGACAGTGGTGTAGAGGTTAAGGATTTCGGCGCTAGCTGGAGAGATGGCGTCGCTTTCCTCGCACTTATCGATGCAATTAAAGCGAATCTGGTTAATTTAGCTGAGCTAAAGAAGACCAGCAATCGTCAGCGTTTGGAAACGGCTTTCGATGTGGCCGAAAGCAAATTGGGCATTGCCAAAATATTAGACGCTGAGGATGTGGACGTACCCAAACCGGACGAGAAGAGTATAATGACATATGTGGCGCAATTCTTGCACAAGTATCCTGAACCAAAGGTGTGTATAAAAGTGAAATGAAATTTACTTAAATATATATCAAAATAATAAATAAAAATGTTTTATTTTCAGGGTGCATCCCGCGACGAGTCGCATGTGCAACAAGAAGTGGATGAATTGCGTCGTTTCCTATTGGAAAAGACCACCGAATATGAGCCGATGGTCATGATGAGTTCGTTCCCACGTGATTTCAGTGAATATCTGCTAGCGCGTTCTGAAGTCGACGCACACTTGCCTGCCTACAACCGGCTCAAGCAACTGATCGAGAGTCAGAGCGGTTTTCTGCAGGTCTCACGTCAGTCGTGGGATGAAATTAACGAGCTGTGGCAGCGTCTACAATACCAGATGATGTACTGGCTCTGGCTATTGGACGCCGAGCTGCCCGGCGATTTTGGTGCTGTGGGCAAATGGCTGGCCGAGGCCGAGAAATTGCTCATGGACAACGATATACCCAATGCGATGAATGAGGAAACAGCCGCTGTGATCAGTAGAAAGCTGGAGGAGCACAAGCTGTTCTTTGCCAATCTGCCACGCATTGTGGCCATGTTCGACAATGTCAAGCGCTCGCCGCTGGCCCAACAGGTGCCACTCGAGCAGCTGCGCAACATGGAACGACGTCTGCAGGAAGTGGGCCCCAAGGCCGCCGAGCGCAGAATCCGTTTGAAATTCCTCGAGCACAAGTGTTGCCTGATTGCCTTCCTCAATTTGGTGGAGAATAAAATGCGTGCCTGGACCGGCAAGTACGGGCACGAGGAGAAGGTCGCTCAACAGCTGGAACAGTATAAGAACTTTGTCTCACGCAACAAGATATTCCAGGAGTTCCAGAAGGCCTTCGTCGATATGCAACAAGTGGTCGAGGAGTACAAGCGTGAGGGCAATGTTGCCCGCAAGGACATCAATGAGATTGATCGCTTCATGTATGAAACCGAGGAGCGCTGGAAGCGTGTCTCCATGGAGCTAAAATGCTGTCAAAATTCCCTCGAGGAAGTTGTGAATTGCTGGCGCAACTGGAATCAATTGGCGCCCAGCTGCGAGGAATGGCTGCTGCTGGCCGAACAGAAGCTGAATCAGAGCGAAGACGATCGCTTGGAATTCTTCCAGGATATAACCGTGTGGAAGGATAAATTCGATGCTTTGGCCAATGCCGCAAACTATTTGATTGCCTCCTGTGACGAGCCCATCGCCCAGCAGCTGCGTCAACGCCATGGCGCCCTAGCTGAGCGCTTCGAGCGTCTGTTCGCCAACACCAAGCAGTATATGCATGCTGGCGATATCATACGCTCTCGCCAGGAGTACAAATCTGGCATTGAGAAGCTCTCCAAGTGGCTGCGCGGCGCCGAGAGCGTGCTGGACCAGCGTCAGGTGCTGGGCAATAGCGAGCAAATACGCCGCTATGGCGAGCAGCTGCAGCAGCTGGCCAGCGAAATCGATGACAACGAGGAGCTGTTTAAGACCATCAGCCGCACCTTCCAGTCGCTTATACAGGATCTGTCCCGCGACGAGGTCGATAAAATGATGAAGCTGCTCAAGCAGGAGAAGGAATCGCTGGTGCGCATACGCGCCCAAATGCCTGCCAAGCTGCATCTGTTCCATCAGCTGCAGATCCAGCAGGAATCGCTGGAGGCGGGCCAAAAGGAAATCCATCAATGGCTAAACGAAGCCGAACAGCTGCTGGGCACACACAACCTAGCCGGCGGACGTGAGTCCATCAATGAGCAGCTGCACAAGCACAAGACCTACTTCTCGCGCACCGTCTACTATCGCTCCATGCTGGAGAGCAAGAACAAAGTGTTCCAGAATTTGGTTAAGGCTGTCTCAGCCGATGATAAAATCGATACGGCCCCAGCTGCGCAGCAGATGCAGCAGCTGAACGAACGCTTCAACTATGTCATCCAGAATGCGGGCAAATGGGAGCAGCGCTTGGACGATGCGGCCGGTGGCTGGATCAACTTCAAGGATAACGAACGTGTGGTCAATGAATGGCTAACACAGGCCGAGTCGATGCTTGTGGAGAAGCACATTGAGTCCAAGACAACAATTGAAACGCAAAAATATTTCTTCGAGCAAGTCAACGATCGCTGGATGAATGATCTGGTGCAATCGGCCCAGCAGCTATTGAGCACAATACCCAGCCAGGAGCAACCGGCTGTGGTGCAAAGCGTCGAGCAGCTGCAGTCACGCTGGAAGAATGTGCTTGCCCAGGCGCCATTGCATCTGCTCAAGCTGGAGTTCCGTCTCGATGAGAATGCGTTCTATCAATCACTGAAGGATGTCGAAAAGGAGCTGCAGCTGGAGCAGCAGGCTCTCAATCGCAACGAGGATGTCGACTCCATCTTGCAACGTAATCAGCAATTCTTGGTGCAACAGGACGCTGTGCCACGCTTGGAGAAATGCCTGCAGAATATGCAGCGCTTGGCACAGGCGCACAGGCAACAGCAGCCCGGCGACATTAGCCTGGATCAGGCCTACGATAATGCTAAGGCCCAGTGGCAAGTGATGTCCAATAAATTGGCTAATATGCGCCAGACATTGCAGCAAATACCAGCCCAATGGCAGGGCTATCATCTGAAGTTCAACGAGATGATCAACTGGATGAACAGCGTTGATCAGAGCCTTAAGAACATCGTCAATGAGGTCAACACCATGGAGGAGTTTGAAAAGGAGAAGGTCGTTTTCCAGGTGAGTTAACTGCTAATCCATATCAAATGCTAGAAACGTATTTCACTTGCCAACATTTATTCTGCCTGCATGCAGCTGAGGGAATTAGTGGTAACTAAATTGCTTTTTGCTACAATGGAAATGTGATTTGCGTCTGAATTCAGTTATTAATGAAACGTTTCTATTTGTAGAAAATCTGCCAGGATGCAGATAACAAACGTGAGGACATGAAATGGCTGGTCAAAACGCTGGATTCACTGCTCAGCTATGCCACCGAAGATGAGGCCAATGTGGAGCAAAAGAAACTGGAAGATCTGATTGCACGCTACAAGAACCTAATACCCACCATTGAGATAACAATGGTCAAGACCGAGGTGTTCTCCAAATGTTATACATATCGTCGCGAGGTGCACGAGGTTGTTTGCCTGTTGACCAAGGTCAAGGATCAAACGGCCAATATCCCAGCGCCCGAAAGCTTGGACCGCGTCAATCGCCTCATCGAGGAGCAACAATATGCCATCAATCAGCTCGATCATCAGCGGCCACACATCATGTCCATGCTGCAGCGCGGACGTGATCTCAGCAAGGATGTACATGCGCCGGCGTTTGTCAATGCCGAAGTCAAGAATCTGGAGACCGGCTGGAATCAAGCCTATACCGAAACCTCAGATAAGCTACAAGCACTGAAGGGCACTCAGGCAGTGTGGAGCGATTTTGTTGATCAAAAGAACGATATCTTCTCCATGCTGCAAACAGCTGAGACAGAGCTGCGCGCCTTGACCCCACTCCAGACAGATCCCAAGAATGTTAGCCAGGATCTGAAGTCGAAGCGCGATCTGAATGTGCAGCTGCAGCAGGCATCCCATCAATTGTTGCCGAAGCTGCATGCCCTCAAATCGGAGCTGGCACCGCTAGCTGCCGCCGATAAGCGTCCCTTACTCGAGAAGGAAGTGACTGAGGTGGAGAAGATGTTCTTCAATACCATGGAGCATGTGAAAGATCGTGTCGGCTACTTGGAGGACTACAGTGCCAAGTGGAACAACTACAAGACGCGTCTAGCTGAGCTGCAAGAGTGGGCCAACAAGGTGGCGCCCAAGAACATTGAAGCCTTACAATCTGAGGACTTGACACCGGAGGAACGTGTCGTCAAGGTGCAGTCGTTCAAGCGAGTGCTGGGCGAGCGCATGAAACAGCTGGATCTACTGGCCGCTGATGCATCGGAGCTGGCACCCAAAGAGGGCAACGTTGCCGAGGCCAAGCGTCTCAAGGGCGAAATCTCCAAACTGCAAGAGGTGCTCAGTGCGATCAATCGCAATGTGGATCATCAGTCGCAGGCCGTGCAGGAGGATCTGGTCAACTGGCAGCAATTCCAGGCCGGACTGCAGCAAATCAAGCCCGCCGTGGAGCAAAGCGAAGTCAAGGTAAATAATATAGTTCCTAAACCTATAACACTTGATGAAGCCGTTGCCATGCAACAAAATGCCAAACAATTCGAAACACAATGCCTGGAGCAATTGGACAAACTCCATGGCATATCAAACATCAGTCATAAAATGTTATGCAAAACCAATGCCCCCGATGAGTTAGATGCCATGCACTCCCGCTGGACGGCGGTCCATGAAAACGCGAAACAGGCGAGCGCCAAGCTCGAAAAGCTCGTTGCCAATTGGAAATCCTTCGATGGCGATGCAGCCAAATTGGAGGATTGGATCGATCAGGGTGCACAGCAGATGGGTAAGCGTCCAGCTGTGCTAAATACTCCCCACATTGACAAGCTCGAAAAGGAGCTGGTCAAGCTAAAGTCCTTCAACAACGAGATTTCGCAGCAGCAGGCCAAATTGGTCGCTCTTGGCCAAAATGCCGATCAAATTAGCTTGCATTTGGCGCCAGAGGGCGCTGTGGCTGTCAAGGATCGCGTCAACAATATGAAGGGTAAATTGCAGAAGCTTTCAGAGGCCACACGCGGCAACATCAATGAGGTTTCCGATGCCATCATTTCGCGTCAAGACTTCAATGCTAAATTGGTCAACTTCTCCAACTGGATGGAGCAATTGCGCAATCAGGTTACCCAAGTTGAGGAAATCAATCCGGAACGTGTTGAGACCAGCTTGCATGTCATCCATGCCTTGCTGCAGGAGCATGCCGACAAGAAGCCCAGCTTCAATGCCATCTATGATGAAGTGAAGCAACTGGCGCTAGGCGCTACGCCCGAAGAATCGAATGCACTCAACGATGCGTACACCGCTCTTGTGGTCAACTACCAGAACTTGGAATCAAATATGCTGCAAAAGAAGGCCGCATTGGAGAAATGGACCGAGCTTTTGGGCTGGAAACATGACACTGAATCGCACTTGAACTATTTGAAGCATCAGTTAGAAAAGCCGGAAGGACCCGCTGTCGAAGAGCTAAAGAAAGCCATCGACGAAATCGATCATCTGGGCCAGGGTCTGAGCTACTGGAAGGGTCAAGCCAAGGAAATCGACGAGAATCCAGCTATACAACTGCGCGATGCGCTCTCTCGCCGACCGCTGATTGCCACGCAGATTGTGAATGATGTGGAAAACAAGTTGGAAAACTTGAAACTGCGTTCGCAGAATCAACAGCAACAACTGCAGCAGATGACTGTGCGCAAGGACAAGTTCCACGCACTGGAACACAACTTTGGCCAGGCGTTGCAGGAGAATCGTGCCAAGCTTGAGCAAATCCTTAAGCAGCATCCCAATTTGAACAACATAGATCAAATCATTGCCGATCTTGTGGCGCTGAATGATGCGCTCAAATATCAGGCAGATCTGAAGGATCGCATACACGACGAGGGCTCGCTGCTGATGCGTGAGGATATTGCCAGCATGCCGGCCATACAGGAGAGTCTCTTGGTTCTGGATAAGAACTACGACTCGCTGCAAAATGAAATAGCTGATCGCATACAAAAGTATAATCTCATTAGCCAGGCCTTGCGAGAGTACGCCGAGTCCAAGGATAGGTTCTCCAAGGAACTAAAGAAGGCGGAAGATTTGTTCAATGCCATACCGCAGCAGCCCGGCGATGAAACCGCGCTGCATCAGGCGTCTGAGAAGACGCGCAAGACCATGGAGCAGCTGCGCAAGTCCAAGATGAATCTCGATGAGCTCGAACGGCGCGGCAACAATGTGGCGAAACTATTTACAGCCATTGGTGAGCCGGTGCCCCAAGAGGTGCAGCAAGAAGTTGCCGCTGCCAAGCAGCAATGGCAGGACCTGCACGATAGGACGGCCAAAAATGCGCATGTCTACGAGACAGAAGCTGTGATTTGGTCACAAATCGAAGATGCCAAAAAGGACCTGCTACCCTGGCTCTCGGAGACCAATCAGGGTCTTTGCGATGCTGCCGACAATTCAATTGAAATCGAATTTGGACCGATGCGCTTGACCAAATATCGCAACGAATTGCCATCGTATCAAGCCCTAAAGGACACAATTCTTGAGAAAACCAACGATTTGATCAAAATTAACAACGGCGCACAGATACCCGCGCTTAGTGCACTCAATCAGCTGCTGGGCGAGCAGTTCGCCGAGGTGAGCAACAATGCAGAGCGCCTGAGCGCGGTCACCACATCCTTTGCCGATCAGGAACAGGAGCTGCGCCGACGCACCAAGGTCGCCGGCGAGCAGGTGAGCAAGCTGCGCGAACAGCTGATCAAATGCGATGATATGTCCGGCGATAACAACAAGATCATGGAGCGCTTGCTGCAGTGCCGCGCTCTGCGCGCCCAACTGGATCAAAGCGGCAACGAAATCGAAAATATCAAACAAAATGTGGATGAACTGCGTAATTTGTATCCGACATTCAATGAGTCCATCATACCCAAGGAGCTGAATAATGTGCAGAAGCGCTACGAGGGCGTCGATCTCTATGCCAAGAAGATCGAGAGCTCTCTGCTGCAGTTCCTCAAGAAGTTCCATGCCGATAAGGTGGGCATGCTGAAGCGGCTCATTGCCACGCAGCGCGAGAAGGTTGCTTGGTGTCAGCCCGAGTCGACCAGCGACAAGTATAATCTGGATGTGAAGAAGTCTTCGTTGCAAGAGGTCAGCAAGAGCATTGACGACTGCAAGGCGCGTCATGCTGAAACGCTGCGATCTCTGGAAATGCTGAAGGCCGTGGAAACTCCACAGAATTTGGTCGAACTGAACAGCGATGCTGAGCTGATGGGCAAGGAAATGCAGGCGCTGCAGGATAGCTTTGATCGCATCAGGGGCATACTGGATGAGAATGTGGATCTCTGGTCGCAGTACGAGCAGTCGAATGAGCAAATCTCCAACTGGCTGCGTGACGTGGAAGGTCGCGTTAAGGCGGAGACCAGCAGCCAGGTGAATCTGCCGGAGGTGCCACAGAAATTGCAAGAGCTGGCCGTACTGCAGCAGGACGTGCTCTCCCATGAGCCAATCATCAGCAATTTGGAGCAAACATCACAGCAGCTGATTGAAAAGAATCCGGAGGCGCGCATTGGACAGTTCGTTACGCATCTGGTGCAGCGTTACCAAACCGTGGCCAAGAGCCTTGCCGGACACATTGATAAGACACGCACCGCTCAGCTGTCAAATGCCAACTTCGCCAAGGCATCGAAAGACTTTAACGAATGGTTTGGCGATGCCAAGATTGAATTCCAGGAATTGGCACGCATGGGCTCGCCGGGCTCTTCCTCAGCGACGGCTCAACAATTGCAGACCATCAAGAACTATCTGAAGACCTTCGACAATGGCCAACAATTGCTAAACAATGCCGTCGACATTGGTGAAGGTCTCTATCCAGTGGTCTCGCCTGAGAATCGGGAGCGCATTCGCGCCGATCTACGTCAAATGCGCGAGAAATATGACTATTTGCGCGATGAGGCCAATGCGTTGATGCAACAGGTCGAGGGCGTGCTCATACAGAAGACCTCCATTGAAGAGAGCTATACTCAGGTGTCGCACTACCTGAACGAATCCAAGGCCAAGGTAACTGCTGCCGACGAACTCTATCCCACACTGGCAGCCAAGAAGGCAGCGCTTCAGAATTATAAGACACAATTGCAGGAGATCACACTGCATAAGAACGCTCTCAAGCAGCTGCACGATAAGGCAGTCACACTTTGCGACGACGAATCCGAGCGCAAAACGGACGAGTCCATACAGGAATATAATACACTATCCAAGAGGATTTCGGATCGCATCAGCACCGTCGGCAACCAGGTGGCCCAGCACGAAGCCTATGATCAGGTGCTGGAGAAGGCGCAAGACTGGCTAAACACCATCAAATCGGAGGCAATCGATATTTTGAATGAAACCACGTTCGAGAAGGAGGGCGCCGAAGAGAAACTAATTGTCGTTGAGAATTTGCTGCAGCACAAGCCCGAGGGAGATTCCATATTCGAGACATGCCACAGGCTGCTGCAGACAGTGCTAAACCAAACCCATCCCAATGGCCATCCGGCGTTGTTAAAGGGATTCGAGGAGCCGAAGAATGCATGGGAAGAGTTCATGGCCCTCTGCCAGGATTCGCAAGTGAAGCTCAAGCAGCTCTGCTCCAAGTGGGATGAGTTTGACTCAATAATCGAGGAGCTCGATAACTGGATGAAGAATGTCGAAGCTGTGGTAAAGAATCAAAGCCTAAAGAGCACTGCCGAAGCTAAGAACGCCCATCTGAAGCAGCTACAAGATAGTGCCAAGGACATTGAACGTCGTGGCGTAGCCATAAATCAACTCATGGATCAGGGACGGGAAATCGAAGGAGAAACCGATCTGAATTTGAAACTTTCCCGTCTAAATACACGCTATCAGACACTGAAGAATCTGTGCAAGGAATCGATTGCCAAGTACATCAACTACGTCAAGGATCACGACAGCTTTGACGCCGACTACGATCAATTTAAGCAGGACTTGCAAAACTGCGCCAACGAGCTGGCGAAGACAAATGAAATTGTTGGCGATCAGAGCGTACTGCAAGAGCAGCAAAACAAATTGCGTGAGATGTCGGACAAGCGCATTGTAGACTCCACTGTCTTCGAGAGTCTGATTGATCGCGGCGAGAAGCTCTACGGCCACACAAGTCCAGAGGGTCGTGAGATAATACGTCAACAGCTGCGCTCCCTGCGCACCCTGTGGGACAACTATACGGACGATCTGAACTCGGCTACGCATAAGATCGATCAGTGTCTGCTGCAATTCAATGAGTTTACCATAGCTCAAGATCAGCTGACCAAGTGGCTCAAGGATGTGGACAAGGCCATGCAGAGCCACACGGAACCGAAAACCACGCTCCAAGAGAAACGCGCTCAGTTGCAGAACCACAAGCTGTTGCATCAGGAGATCACCACGCATAATGTGCTCGTGGATAACGTCTGTGACAAGGCGCAAATCCTAGTCGATCAAATCAAGGACAACTCGTTGAACATTTATCTGCAGTCAATCAAGCAACTCTTCCAGAATATTGTGCAAAAGTCCGACGAAATACTGCAGAATCTGGAGAGCTGCGTGCAGAAGCACAGCGAGCTAAATAATGCCTTGAGTTCGGCCAAGACTTGGATCTCGAATGAGAAGGCCAAACTGCTCGAGTGCGACGATTCCTACGGTGAAAAGGCCGATATAAAGCGTAAGATTGAAACGCTGGGACAATTGGCTCAAAACAAAGCGCAGGCCGTGAATCTAGTAAGCGAAATTCGTGCACAGTTCGAGACGGTTAAGCCCGCTACCTCGGAGAAGGGTGTTGAAGTGCTCGAGAAGGAAATCGATGAGCTGGAGACAACAATGAAAAGTCACTTTGATGACATCGAAGGCATCGAAGGCAAGCAAAAGGATGTACTCTCGCAGTGGGATAAATTTGAGCGTAATCTGGAAGAGCTCACTAAATGGTGTCGCAATGCGGAGGCTGTCTTCCGTGAGCAACAGCTGAAGTCAACGCTGCATGAGAAGGTCGAGCAAATGGACAAATATAAAATACAGCGAGAGCTCATACTGCAAAAGGAGAAGGAAATCGATGCCTTTGGCGATACGGCGCACGCTTTGCTCAACAACTGCGGTGCAGATCGCCTCAAGACGTTGACAACACAAATCACAAATCGTTATCAACTGCTGCAGGTGTTGAGCAAAGAGGTGGTCAATCGTTGGTCCAATCTGGTTGACGAACATCAGTTCTACCAGGACAAATACACCGAGGTGGACCTGTGGCTGAAGCCGATCGAGACGCAGCTGGAAAAAGCACTCAAGGACGAACCCACACAGAGCTCGAATATACTGCCCGTTTTGCTTTCCGAGAGGGAGCAGGCCGAGAGCTTATTTGGAGCATTGAATGCTGCTGGCGAAAAGGCTCTGCCAGAGACATCCACCCAGGGCAGAGAGAAGATTCGCAAGGACTTGCGTGACATACGCGATCGTTGGGATAAACTCGACGAAGGCATTCGTAATTTGGAGAAGCGTCAAGAGGCACAGTCCGTACAGCTATCCAGCTATCAAGATATACTAAGTCAAACGCTCAACTGGCTGGATCAAGTGGAAAAGTTACTGCACAATGAAAGCCCTGCCACCTGGACCAGTGCACAGGAAATTCGTTCCAAACTCTACAAATACAAGGCGACAAATCAGGACATCAATTCGCACAAGCGCATTGTGGAGGCTGTCAATGAGAAGGCAGCAGCGCTACTGAGCAGCGCCGCCCCAGCCAATGCTGATGAGATCGCCAAGTCTGTGACTGACATTAATAAGCGGTATGAACAGGTTGGACAGGATTGTGCGAAGCTAGTTGCCGATCTCGATGCCGCATTCGAGGTGTATCAGCAGTTCAGTGAGCTGCAGAAGGCACAGCAGGATTATCAGAAGAACCTATGGGATCGGTTGACCGGCTACTCTGACTATTCGGGCAACAAGGCCGCGCTGCAGGCACGTCTACAGAAGATCAATGAAGTCCAGGATGCACTGCCCGAGGGCGTTGCCAAGCTGAAAGCACTGGAGGAACACATTGAGCAGCATGCTGGCGGCATACCAGCCCGTTCAAAGGAGGCAATGACCCGTGACTTGGCCAATTTGCATGCCGATTTCGAAAAGTTCGGTGGTTCGCTGAGCGATGTGAAGAGCGGACTGGAGAATCGTTTGCAGCAATGGAATGACTATGAAGTCGATTTGGATCGCTTGATTAATTGGCTGGGCGAAGCTGAGAATACGCTCAAGAACTACAATCTGAAGAATTCGTTTGAGGAAAAGGAAGAGCAGCTGAATCGCTTCCAGTCAATGACTCAGACTCTGCGCCAGAACGAAGCGGACTTCGAGAAAATGAAGGACGACACCTCCGAGTTGGTGCAGAGCTCGGGCGAAACTCGAATTGCTGTCAACGTGCAACAAGTGTCATCACGTTTCCAGTCCATACAAGCAACTGCCAAGGAAATACTCAAGAAATGCGAGCAAGCTGTTCAGGATCATGGCCATTTCAACGAGAAGTACAAGCAATGCGCCGATTTGTTGGCCAACGCCCAGGCGCGCTACGATGACTGCAGCGACCTGTCGACGGTGGCATCGCGCGATGATCTGCTAAAGAAACAGCTGATCATACAGGAATTGCTGGCACAACAGCCAACGGCCACTCAGCTGCTGAATAGCACCGTCGAGCTGGGTGAGAAGTGTTATAGCTCAACGGCTACGGAGGGACGTGAGGCCATACGCAGCCAACTGAACGATCTGACCTTTGATCAGCTGTTTGACAATATTGCCAGCTCTGCTCGTAAGATACAGGATAAGATTGCCAAGTGGTCTGGCTTCGATGAGACTGCTGACAATCTCAAGAGCTGGCTAGACAGCGTGGAGCATGAATTGCCAGCGGATATTGAGCTGAAGACCACGCTGGATGAGAAGCGCAATAAGCTGCAGGCCTATCGCGATGTGCTCAATGATATATCAAATCATCAGGTGGAAGTTGGCAATCTGCAGGAGATTGCAGCCAATTTGCCAGAAAAAACTGAGCATGTGGATCAGATCCTTAAGGATATCACAGATCGTTTTGGTAAACTGCAAAAGCGCGCCCAAGGCTATGTGGAGCGGTACGAGGGCATTGTTAGTGCTCATCAGCAATACTCGAAGGCTGTCATGGATGCGCAGGAGTTCATTGATGCCACGCTGAATACTGTGCACTACTGGGGCGATCTTGATTTGGAGCAAACCTCTCTGCATACCAATCTAGATCGTCTGAAGAACTTGAAGGCCAGCCTGGCCGACGAGTTTCCACGCGTGGATCAAGTGCGTGCACTGGGCGAGAAGGTGATACCCGGCACCGTTGATGTGGGTCAAGTGAATATCAAGTCCCAGATCGATACAACACAACAGGAATGGGAAGGTCTACTGGCAGCCATCAGTTCAACCATCGAAGCCATCGAAGCACGCCTGCAGCAGTGGTCCGAATATGAGCAACTGCGCGATCAGTGCTTGGCCTGGATACGTGACACCGACAATGAATTGCATGCCATTTTTCTTAAGGAGGATCTGCCCAAGAAGCGTGCCCAATTGGATACGTTGAAGGCACTGCAAGGTGATGTGCGCGCCAAGGAATTGGAAGTTGATAATGTTACGGAGAAAGCGCAAACATTGCTGAAGGGACCCAGCACAACGCGTTCGTCTGGCCCCGAATTGGTAACCAAATATCAGCAAATCTTCCACAAGGTCAAGGACTTGAATAATCGCTGGCAGCAGTACGTTAGCTCGCACGAGGACTTCGATAACGCCATCAGCGAGTGTGCATCCTGGATAAATGGCATTAAGGAGAAATTGGACTACTGCTCGGACATGTCATCGATGAGCCAAAAGGAACTGGATAAGAAATTGGCCACCATACAGGATGTGATTCTGCTCAAGGACGAGGGCTCTGCGCGCGTGCTTAAGATCTTAGAGCAGGCTCAACACGTGCTGGCAAACACAGCGCCCAATGGCCACGAAGCCATTAACAAGGAGCTCTCCGAGTTGCAAGATCTTTGGTCCGGCATTGCTCTGCGTATTATGGATGTCAAGGCGAATCTGGATGATTCCATAACGCAATGGTCTGGTTTCCTGGATCAAGTGCAAAACGTGCGCAAGTTCAATGAATGGCTGGATGCCTTGCTAAAGGAATTGGGTGAGCATCAGACGACAATGACTGAGAAACGTGCACAGCTGGATCGCGTCAAGTCCACGGAGGAGAAAGTGCGCGTGGAGAAAATCGATGTGGATTCGCTGAAGATTCAGGCTAAGGAAATGATTGCCAGCGGCCAACAGAGTCAAGCGGCGTTCCAGGCACAGAAAGTGCTCGACACGTTCGATGAACTGTTTGCCAAGACACAGAAATTGCTGTCGGATCGTCAGGATCAGTACAGAGATCATCGTCTATTCAAGGAAGCCTACGACGATCTAGTCAGCTGGATAAGTCGCGCTCGTGAGAAATTCCCAGCACTGAAGCAGAGTAGCCTCAGCGATAAGCTGGCCATTGAGAATGCCGTGCAAGCCACCGAAGCTCTGCTCAACAAACAGGCGCAGGGCGAACTTCTGGTTGAGCATTTGGTGCACACTGGCGAGGTGGTGCTGGCAAGTACATCGACGCAGGGCCAAGAGATCATACGCAATGATATACGCGCACTACGTGATAGCTTCGAAAGTTTGTTCCGCGAGATCAATCAGCAGAAGGAGAACTTGGAAGTTACCATGGTGCAATGGCGCGCATATAAAGAGGAGTATGAACGTCTCATGGAGTGGCTACAACAGATTGATATACTTGTCAAGAACCATAAGCTAAACCTGTGTCCCAATCTGCCCGACAAGGAGAAACAGGTGGCCGATATGCGTGAGGTAATGTCTCGCCTGGAAAAGGGCAAGGACGACATTGATAAATTTAATGCCTCCGCTGCGGGTCTACTCAAATCGCATCTGGATAGCTATGTGAACAATCAGCTCAGACACTTGGGCTCCATGTATCAGGTACAGGTTAACCTGGCCAAGGATGTGCTGAAGAAGGTCGAAACCAATCGCGATCAGCATCGCGAATACGATGCCAACATGAAGTCGGCCAGGGATTGGATTTCGAATGCCAAGCAAACGATTCAATCGGCTGGCGATGGCGCTGGCTCCAAGGAGGCGCTGCAACGTCGCCTCGAGCAAATACAGGACTTAATACGCAATCGCGAATTTGGTCAGAATCTGGTGCACACAGCCATCAATAATGGTGAGAAGATCATACGGAATACGCGCTCGGATGGACGCGATGCCATTAACAGTGAAATGAAGGAGTTGCAAACCGATTGGGATCGATTGGTCAAGAAAATGTCCACAGCCAAGGTGCAGCTGGAGACAAATCTCTTGCAATGGGCTGACTACAGCTCCAGCTATACGCAGTTGCAGCAATGGATTACCGACAGAGAGGCCAAGCTGCAACAGGCGTGCGAGCAGAAGATCATCAAATCCCAGCGTGGACAACCCGGTCTCAGCAGTGGCCTGAGCGAACGCAAGGCTAATTTGCGCCAAACGAACAACATTGTCCAGGACATTGTCTCATTTGAGCCCATGATACAATCGGTGACCTCGAAGGCCTCCGACTTGCAGCAGGGTGCACCGGCTACGGAAATTTCCGATAAGTACGAAAATCTGACCAAGCAGGCCAAGGATCTGTATGCCAAACAGAAGAACACCATCGATAGCTACCAGGCGCTGATCGATGCTGGCAACGACTTTGCCACCTGGCTGCGAAATGCCAAGGAGAGACTGAGCAAGTGCTCTGAGCCAACGGGCGATAAGCAAGCGTTGGCTGAGAAGACGCATCAGCTCAAGATACTGCAAGGTGAAGTTCCCGAGGGCTCAGCGAAGCTACAAAATGCTTTGGCCCAGGGCGAGATCGCTTGTCGCACAGCAGAGCCCGAGGATTGCGCGATCATTGAACAGGAAGTCGCTCTCCTACAGGAGGAGTTCGATGTCTATGTGGACGCGCTCGACAAGGCCAAGGTTTACCTGGAGGTCGGCATCGTCAAGTGGTCTGACTACCAAGATCAGTACACCGAGGCGCTCGAATGGTTGACCCAGACTGAGGCGCAGGTGCAGTCCTACAACAAGCTGCAGGACAGCCTGACCCAAAAGAAGGTGGTGCTGGAGCAGTTCCAAGGACTACTGCAAACCCTGTTCGATTGGCAAAAGACACTGGACAATTTGAACATGAAGGCCCAAGTTCTGCTCGAGACCTGCTCCGATACACGCATCAGCAATGGCATTATGCAGTTGACCACCAAATACAACGCGCTGCTCACATTGGCCAAGGAGGTAATGCGACGCCTGGAGCTGCACTACCAGGAACATCAGCAGCATCACACACTGTACGAGGAATGCCAGTCGTGGATCGAAAACACACGCGAAAAGCTGGCTGAGTGCGAACAAATACCCGGCACGCTGAACGAGGTGCAAATCAAATTGAATACGGTTAAGAACTTGCGACAGGGCTTCGAAACGGGACAGAACAAGCTGCGCTATTTGCTGGAGCTGAAGGAGAAGGTTATTATGAATACCGAACAGAATGGCGCTGCCAAGATTCAAGAGGATACCGAATCACTCAAGCAGGACTTCGATAAGCTGCTTGTCGATCTGAACGATGTGCGCCAGAAATTGGCGAATCGCTTGTCCCAGCTGGAGGAGATCTTCAAGCTGTACAAGATACTGCTTGAGTGGCTGGAGGACATTGAGCCCAGTGTCAAAGCCAGCGACGAGTATCTGAATGACTTGAGCGAAAAGCGCGCTGCTCTGGAGAAATTCCGTGTCACCCAGCGCGACATCAACGGACACAACGATATTGTGGAGAAGATCAATGTGCGTCTGCGCGAGGACAATAGCTTGGACAAGAACGATTTCGCAGCGGGTCTGAGCAAATTCGATGCGCTGCAAGCGCAAGTCAACAAGATCATCGAGTCGCTGGAGAACCAGGTGAACAATCACGACAAATACAAGCAGGCCTACAATGAGCTGCAAGATTGGCTGCGTCGCACACGCATCGAGGTGGAGCAGTGCGCCGATTGCCATGGCGAAAAGGATCAGGTGGAGGAGCGCTTGAATCGCCTGGGTGATATACAGGCAACCTCCATGGAGGGCAAATCGCTGCTCGATGCTTGCGAAGAGCTCAGCCAGGCGGTCATAGCCACCAGCGGCAGCGAGGGTCAAGACAATGTGGCCCAGGAGATCAAGCATCTGAATGGCGAATGGGAAACACTTCAAGCTCTATCGCGAGATGCGCGCAGCGGCCTGGAGACCTGTCTGGCTGCTTGGGAGACATTCCTGCAAAAGTTCAACAAAATCAATCTGTGGATTGTTACGATGAGCAAGCGCGTTGCCAAATCACAGGAAGCCGATAATAAAACCACCGAAGATTTGGTCAATGCCAAGGTAAGCCACAAGTCTCTCGTCAAATCTCACGCAACTGTCGCACGCAACGCTAACCCCAAAGAAAATTGTATTTATATAATCAATTGAAATGAACTAAAAACGAGTGCACCCCGTAGCAAAATTTCAATATATATCTATATGTAAACTGATTCACAAACTAAACAAAACTAATCAGAGTTGCTAACTTTTCAGCTAATCACTTTCACACTCACACTATTGCAGCTAATCATTTCTACACAGACTTTGTCTAATGCCTATTAATGCTTAATATATACACACACACACAGCTCTCTGTCCGACCTGTTAACTAATATTGCATTCCCTCTTAGAAACTGCTGGATGAGGTGCTGGCCGAACGTGAAAATGTCGAGGATCTGAATGACAACTGTGAGCTGCTCATGGAGCAAAGCGCCTGCACGCGCATACGTGACCAGACCATTGAGACGCAGGCCAATTATACCAAATTGCTAACCGCGGCTCAGGGTCTGGTGGCCAAGGTCGAAAAGAATCTGTCCGATCACACCGAGTTCCTCAACTACAAGAACGAAATGGATGCCTGGATTGAGAAGGCCCAGCAGGTGCTCAACGACTGCAGCCTCGATGGTGATGCCGCGATCATTGCGCAAAAGTTGGAGACTGTCAATGTGAGTACTAAAAATCTTAAGCCTAATTCAAAGCTCCCAGAACTATGCACTTCACTTGCAGTCATTGGCCTCGCATTTGCCAGAGGGCCAACACTTGCTGGCCATGGTGCAGGATGCCTACTCGAAGGCCTCGAATATAACGCCCGGGGACAAGCAGGAGAAGCTGCGTGACCTGATGACCAAGGTGCGTGAGGACTGGGATGCTCTGGGCCTGGCTGTCAAGCAGAAGCTAAGTGACCTGAAGCAGGCCCAAAATCGCTGGAATGATTTTGCAGCCAATAAGGAGAGGCTCGACAAATGGCTAATCGAAACCGAGAAGACGCTGAAGATAGCGCCCGAAACGAAGGGCGAGCTGAGCGAGATGAAAACTCTGCTCGAGCGCTACAAGACGCTGGGCAATGAGCTCAAGCAGAAGGGCAACGATCTCGAGCAGCTGGTGTCGGAGGCACGTGATCTGGGCACCGAGTTGGATGCGGTCAATCGTTTGCAGTCGCGTTGCGATAAGCTGAAGAACGATTGCGCCGGCTACATTCGAGATCTGGAACAGGAGATGCTCGACTACAATGGATATCATCAGAGCCTGCAGGATGTAGAGAAATGGCTGCTGCAAATCTCCTTCCAGCTGATGGCGCACAATTCGCTCTTCATTTCGAATCGCGAACAAACGCAAGAGCAGATCAAACAGCACGAGGCGCTGCTGGGCGAGATACAAAAGTATCAGACCAATTTGGATGACCTGAACGCCAAGGGTCAGGCTCAAATCAAACGCTATGAGCCAACAACGCCAGCCATACGTCCGACTGTCGAGTCCCAGCTGAAGAACATACAGGACAGCTACAACTCGCTGCTGCAGACCTCGGTGCAAATCAAGAATCGTCTGCTCGAATCGCTGGCCAAGTTCCAGGAGTACGAGGATACGCTGGACAATATCATGCGCAATCTGGAGGCCTACGAGCCCATCATACAAACCGAACTGGACGAGCCAGCCACTAGCCTGGAACTGGCGCAGAACCAGCTCAAGTGCGCTCAGGATATGCAAAATAAACTGAACAATGAGAAATCCAGGCTGGCAGCTGCCGTTCAGGCCTGCGAGGCAGCCACAGCATCCATCAGCCGGCCCAGCTCTCCCTTGGAGACAGCTATGCATGCCATACCCGAACGTGAACTGATGGTGCGCGCCAAGCTCGAAGATCTGCTGGATCAGGTGGGTTCTAAGCGAAGCTTTATGCTTTTCTATAAAGTTTTTCCTATTCCATTTGTAGTTGTTGTTTATTTATTTAGTAAAAATATTAACTAAAGTAGAAAATGGCGATGTAGATGGAGCAAAGGTAGGGAATGGGTTGCATGCAGGCTTCATTTAGTAGCAAGTCTACAGAAGTTGATGCATATATTGATAGTTTGATTAACTAACCAAAGAAATCTAGTAAGACAAAAATTAATTTTAGCTTGATATAAAGAAAATATATTTAGTATTATTATTATAATTATTTTATTTATATTTTGCATTAAGCTAATATGCATTGAAGATTTATTTGATTGAAGAGCTCTAATGTCGCTCTGCTAGACTTGACAAAGCATATAAGTTTGTGCTTAAATTGCAATGAAATCATAGCAGAACAGTTACCTATATTTAATAGTATTTAAAATATTATAAGATTTATACTAAACGCTTTATAGGAATTTCTGCTTGCAGACGACTTTAGCTTGATTCCAATCTACATAAAGTTAGCAGCATTTTTTTAAATTTTTGAGAGTCTGCTAGTGTAGTCTGATAGATATAGATAGATGGCTATAGATAGATAGATAGATAGATAGAGGGATATAGTTAGATGGATAGATAGATAGATAGACATAGATAGATAGATAGATAGATAGATATATAGATAGATAGATAGATATATAGATAGATAAACAGATAGATAGATAGATAGATAGATAGATATAAAAATATAGAGATGTAGATAGATTTACATAAATAGACATAGATACAAGATTTTTAGATATAAATAGCTGTAGATAGATAGATAGAAATAGAAATGGATATATATAAATATAAATATAAATAGATAGATATACAAATAGAAAGATAGATAGATATAGATATAGATATAGATATAGATATAGATATAGATATAGATATAGATATAGATATAGATATAGATATAGATATAGATATAGATATAGATATAGATATAGATATAGATATAGATATAGATATAGATATAGATATAGATATAGATATAGATATAGATATAGATATAGATATAGATAGGTAGATAGAAATATATATAGATAGATATAAAAATAAATAGATATATATTAATAGATTTAGATTTATAGATAGATAGCTAGATAGATAGTTTTATCTGATATGTTATCCTCATATATATACGCCGTATAAGACTTTTCGGCGAGTGCTCACTCGGGCATATATGCCAAGGCGCAATAGCAAAAGATATAGTAATACCAAGTAAGCCACGCTCCTGTAGAGCTATACTAAGCAATCTTGATATTAAGAGCAACGACTATATATGAGTATAGCTAACAAATGTAGAGTCTCTAGCTTCAAATGTTAAGCAATCAGAAGAACGAACAGACGAATTGCAGTAAGCCAATATACTCTCTTTACTTTGTGAACGAGCATAAACAGCTAAAACAAAATTCTTGGGAAACGATCTAGAAACGCTTAGAAACCAGAGCAGAGCTTTGTATTTAAAGTCAATTGATTATTGAGGCTAGATCGTTGCCATCTACTCGCCCAATTCTACATTTTAGAAAGTGAACCTATTTAATTTTTCTACCCTAACCTTATGATCTTTTGTTAATTTTGTTTTATTGCAATTTACTTTTATACCTAACCCAACTACACCGACTTTTGTCAACTACAACCAACTGTAAAATCAACCACCCCCAACCAAACACCGCTCTAACTAATGTTGATTTGCCGCACCGTAACTCCTCTTGTTGTTGTATAATAAACCGCACTACCACGCCCACTTTGCTCGCCGCCTGCCTGTTTGCATTTGCATTCGCCTCGAAAATAACAAAAAACAAAAGCAGCCGCCGCCAAAGACTCGGAGCTCAACCGACGATGACAACGATCTCGACGTTGAGCTCAGCGATGTGAATGAGGCGCTGTCGGATCCCATTGCTTACGAGCGTATTCAAAACTATTGTCGCATAGTACGGCTGAATAGCGCACACGTGAGCAAGCTGAATGCACTCGTCGCTAAGGTAAGCGGCATTCAAATCTTCAATGGTGGCGGCTTTGCTCTCTAAACTAAATAACGCAGTCCAAACAAACAGCACAAGCTAGAGCCTTTGTTGAATTATATGTGTCCTCTTCTTATGCCCAGGTGCAATCCCACTTGGGTGGTCTGACTGCATCCGTTAGCGAACTGGAGCAACAGCAGAAGCAGCGCGCCGAGCTGCAGGACTGGGTCAAGAGGCAGCAGAGCTCTGTCTCCGATTGGCTAATGCGTCCATGCAAGCTGCGTCCAGATGCCGCGCAACAGGAGCTGGTCTCGATGAACGATCTATTGAACTCCATTGGAGACAAGCGCTCACAGCTGATGCTCGAGATGACAGGATCATGTGAGTAGCTCATGCGATGCAGCTCTGTGCAGAGCATCACACAAATTCACACAAATTTCTTTCTCTCATTTAACCCAACAGTAGGCGATGAGGACACGGATCTGGATGATAACATTGACAAGCTCGAATCGGAGCTGATGGATGCCATTGCCAAGAAGCAGGCGGGCCAGAGTATCATCGACGGCTATCGCCAGGGCATGCAGGATGTGCAGAACTGGTTCGATACGTTGATTAAGCGCATGGATGTGCTGGATCGCGGTTCCGGTCTCAATTGTGCCCAGAAAATGGCCGCCATCAATGAGATTAAGAACGAATACGAGCTGCAGGGTCATCCGAAGATACAAGAGCTGAAGGGCAAGGCCGCGCAGGTGGCTGAGGTCATTAGCAATCTGGATGGGCAGCAGGTGGAGGAGCAAATGAAATCGTTGGATCGTCGTTTCGCCGATCTGGGCAAGCGCATCGATCGCAAGGCACAGCTGCTCGATGTCACCAATAAGGGCGTGGATGGGGCCAAGGGCGAAATCGATCAACTGCAGCAATGGGTGAAGCAGCAAATCGACGAGCTGCAGGCGCCAGCTGCTCTGGGCTTTTCGCCCAAGGATGCGGAGGCGCGCCAGCAGAAGATCAAGAGCCTGATGAAGGATGCCGAGGCAAAGCAATCGCTGGCGGATGTCCTCGAAAAGCGCATAGCCAACATGCAGCCCGAATTGGAGTCTGCTGAGTATGCCCAACTGGAGTCGGCCTTGCGTAATCTGAATAGCGAAAATCGCAATTTGGCTGGCGTTCTGAAGGCCGAGCTGGATCGTGCGCTGGAGGCGAGCAAGGCGCGTAAGGCACTGGAGAATGATCTGGACAAGGCGCGTCAATGGCTGAAGGCCAAAATCTCTGAGGTGCGCAAGCTGCCCGTCTATCATCCACTGACCTCCGCTGAGATTGAGAAGAAGATACAGGAGAACAGGAAATACGATGATGACGCCAAGCAATTCAATGACAGCGTCCTCAGTGATGTCCAGCGTCAAGCTGCCAACATCATGAAGGACTGCGGCGAGCCAGACAAGGCCGCGCTGCAGCACATTCTGGATGAAATTGCCGCCGACTATCAGACGCTCAAGGATGAGAGCGGCAAGCGCGGCAAGTCCTTGGACGATCTACTGCAGGGACGCAAAGCCTTCGAGGATTCAATGAAAAAGATGGGCGACTGGCTAAACGAAATGGAAACAGCCACCGAAAGTGAACTGCGCACCACGAGCCTACCCGTGCTCGAGGAGCAGCTGGCCCACTACAAGAAGCTACTGCAGAATGCCGACAACATGGGCGGCGTCATCAACGATGTGTCCGAGCAGGGCAAGAGCATATTGCCGACGCTCAGCAATGCGGACAAGCTAAAGCTGAACGACGACATCAAGAACATGAAGGATCGTTATGGTCGTATCAAGCAGACAATTGACGATCGTGTCAATACGTTGGGCGATCACATCAAGAAGTACAAGGATGCCAAGAACCGGTTGGCCGATTGCAGTCAGTTCCTGGCTACCATACAGCAGCGCATGCGAGAGCTCAATCGACCGATTGGCTCCAGGATTGAGGATGTGCAGGATCTGCTGGGCGCCTACGAGGGCATACTGAAGGAGCTCAAGGATAGCAAGCACAAAATGGGCGACATGCAAATGGACGACTTGCCCGAGCTGCAGAGCATCCTGGCGCAGCAGGACGATATGATTAAACTGATTGAGGATCAGTTGGCGCATCTGCGTCAGCTGTTGATGCTGCGCGAGCAGTTCATAGCTCTAATCAACGAGATCATTGCCTTCATTATGAAGTACACCGATGTCATCATCGACATCGAGAACTCACCGGACAGCCTCGAGGACAAGATCAACAAATACGACAATGTCATCGTCAAGATACAGGAGTGCGAGGGACTGCTGGCCTCGGCCAACGACAAGGGTCAGAAGATCGCCTCCGAGGGCAATGCGGCCGATAAGAACAGCATCACAGAGCAGCTGCAATCCCTGAAGAATCAATTGCAGAATCTGCGCAAGGCTGTCGAATCGCAGCGCCAGAAGCATCAGCTGCAGCTCGAGTCCCACAAAAAGATGGCCGCCGAGCTGAGCGAGATACTCGACTGGCTGCACAATAATGAAGGCGTTGCCAAGTCGCGACCCCTGCTCGACCGTGATCCCGAGTCGGTGGAACGTGAACTGCAGAAGCATCAAGCACTCAGCAAGGACATTGAATCGCAATTGCAGAAGTTCAATAAAATCAATGACAGCGTCAAGACGGACGTGGGCATGCCCAGCTCTCTGCTAGAGATGCTCTCCGAGGGTCGTTCACTGGTCGCCTCGCTGCCGCATGAGCTCGAGGAGCGCGAGAAGTATTTGAAGAACAATCGCGACTCGCGTCTGGAGTACATGCAGCTGGTGGCCAAGTTCAATGATTGGGTGCACGAGGCCGAGCTGCGTTTGCAGAACAGCCAGCATGGCATCGACTACGAGCATCTCGTGCACGATCTCGAGGAGCACAAGATCTTCTTTGGCAACGAGGCGCCCATACGCAATCTGGTGCACAAGCAAATCCAGGAGGCATCCGACAAGATTTGGTCCTCGCTCAACAGCTACGAGCAATCCGAGCTGTCGGCCGAGCTGACACAGTTCCAGACCAAGCTGGCCAATACCTTGGCCAATGCCAAGACCCAGCAAAGCGAACTGGAAAGAGAGGCGGAACGCTGGCGTGAATACCAACAATCCATCGATCGCGTCAAGGCCACCATTGAGCGTACCAAATTTAGCGATGAGCCCGTCCAGAATTTGGCCGGATTGCACTTTAATATTCAGAAGCTGTCGCATGCCATTGGAAATGTACAGGTGAGCTAATCAAACAGACGTAAATTTGACTACCTTTAAAGCGTTGCATAAATATTTGTAGAGCTGATTAGAGCTGATTTGCAATAGAAATTGAAACAGTCAATAGATTGGTAGTATTTGTTATCTATCCAGCTTGAAAGGCCAACAAATTTAAGAAAAAATAATTTTTTAAAGAAGAAAAACCATAACATTCCTAGCCATCTACCTTAGGCTTACAGTCAGGTAAACCCTAACTTTTTTAATATTTTAAAATAATAGCACCACAGTGACATAGTATTGAGCAAAACTTTCGATTGATTAAGAATTTCCTTTGCATAAGAAAAATTAAATTATAACTAAAATTATAAATTTATTTCCTTTCCTTTTATGATTTTCTCTTTCTTTATATAATTTCCTTTTTCTTATGCAAAGAAATTCTTAATCAATCGAAAGTTTTGCTCAATACTATGTCACTGTGGTGCTATTATTTTTATTGCTTAGCATCCATAGGTAGTGAATCAGAAAGCCTTGGCAAACAATCGGATTATGTTAAGTGTCTTAAAAACCTTTTATTGTATTTATACACACACATATAAATATATATACGTATTTATGTACGTATGTACATGGCAAGCGAAGACCTGTTTTAAGTGTGACACAACGAAACATCTTTCATAAAACTGCAAAACAAGAATTTGTATCTGCAACGCATGTAAGAGAATGTATCTGCAGATGACTTTCGCGCTGAGTGCTAGCTTCGCGGCCGCATACGATTTGCCGGCCGGCAAAACCAATAAACTTCAGCTGCACTCACTGTTCGCTCTCTTTGAGCTAAAGCTCTCTTGTGTGGTTCAACTCTCTTATATGAGGTCACATTTAAAATAGTTTTTTTTTTTTTTTTTTTTTTTTTTTTTTTCGTTTTTATTTCTTTATTTTGTTGCAGCTTATTGTCTTAGACTCTATAGCGCATTTAGCTCTAAACCTTAACTAATGGGAGGGCAGATATGCCAATTATTCTGCACTTGTAGCTACTATCTTAATTAGTTCTAATATTGTCTAGAGGATGCAATCTCTTCAGTCTTCGCCTATTGTTGTTTATAGCCAGGTTGCTTGCGAGATGGTTAGGATGCGCTGCAAGTCTGTCCGCGTATCTTGAACTGTGTCGCCCAATGAGTTCAGCAACTGTGGGAATTGCTAAATCCCTATGTAAGACTGAGTTTCTTACAAACCAGCTGGCTCCAGTCCATCTGCGTAGTGCTTTATTCTGCAGGGTCTGAATTTTGTTCCTTGTAGTCTTCGCCGAGGAGCCCCATAGAGAGATACCATATACGAAGGTTGGGACAACTATTGCCTTGTAGATGGCGGCCTTGCTGCTGTAAGACAACTTGCTTGAAGCTCTCAGCATCCAGTCGAGGGTTTTTAGCTTGCTTTTGCATTTTGAGGTTACTTGACTTATGTGCGCTTTAAAAGTCAGCCTTCTGTCAAGAGTGATACCAAGGTACTTTACTTTTGAGGCTTTGGGAATAGTGGGCCCCAATGCAACGCTTGGGCAATCTCCTCTTCTAGTGGCGAAGGTAGTATGTACAGACTTTTGTGCATTAATGGTGATACACCACCGTTTTGCCCAGCGTCCGAAAGAGTCCAGATATTTTTGTAGTGAGTCTGAAGCTTCTTGCGCAGATACGTGACGTGATAAGATGGCGGTGTCATCTGCATAGGTCGCTATGAGTACTGCATCTGTACTTCCTATATTTGGCTCGGGAGTTGGCATATCTCCTGTGAATAAAGTATAAAGTGTTGGGCCTAGAACACTACCCTGTGGTACTCCAGCCATAATTGGTCTAGTCAAGGATACTGTTTGCCCCCTTGACACTTGGAAGGTTCTTCCAATAAGGTATGAGGATAGCAACGCGAAAAATGGGGCTGGAAGGGTGGTCCTCACTTTCTGCAGCAGTCCCAGGTGCCAAACTCGATCAAACGCCTGTTTGATGTCTAAAAAGACGGCAGAGCAGTACATCTTTTCTTCAAAGGCTCCAAGGATATGGTGCACAACTCTGTGAACCTGTTCCGGTGTTCCATGCTGTCTCCTGAAGCCAAACTGATGGTTTGGAATGGCCTCCTGGCGTCCCAGATGTGTCAGTACTCGTTCCAGAAATATTCTTTCGAATATTTTGGAGAGTACTGGCAACAGGCTAATTGGTCTGTACGACTCAATTTCTCCCACGGGTTTGCCAGGCTTAGGAATCATCACAATCACGGCGCGCTTCCAGCAGGCTGGAAAGTGCCGGATGCGGAGCATGGCGTTGTACACCATAGTTATGTAGTCTATGGTGGAGTCAGGCAGTGCTCTAAGGACTCTGCCGTTTATTAGATCATATCCAGGGGATTTTTTTGCCTTCACTCTTCTGATGTGTTCAAGAACCTCTTCTTTTGTACATCCAGTTATCTGGTCTTCAGCTGGGAGGGGCGAGAGAACGATGTCTTCTGTTGCTTCGATTTCTGAGGCCTCTGCGGTAATCACCGGCGTGAATTGGTCTTGAAGGTGGTTTGCAAAAGCCTCAGCTTGAGCTTCGTCTCCAATGTGCCAGGAACCAGAAATGCTCCGAATGGGATGACGTCGTATTGGCTGCCGTTTGAGCTTTCTTGTAAATTTCCATAATTGAAACTCTGCGTCAGTGGGCGATTCAGCTCGTACCAGCGCATCGCTGATACACCTCTTTTGAAGCAGGGCGAGAGCAGCTTTAAGATGCCTCGTGGCTTCGTTGTACATGGATTTGGCATCAGGCGTGCGTAATCTTAACCAGCGTCTCCTGGCCCATCTTTTGTGTATTAGTAGGTGTTGGGCCTCCAAGGTGAGGGGGATGTTGTACGGAGACTGTTGTCTTGTTTGGCAAGATGGTGGGGCGGCTTGGTGCGCAGCTTTGACTATTTCTTCCTGCAGTTTGTTTGCTGCGTAGTCCACGTCTTCAGGAGTGTTAAGTTCCATTTCTATGTGCAAAGAGTAATGGAGCTCGCGCCTAAAGACTCCTAAATCTGATCCTGCTGGCAGTAGTTGTTTCCTAATGGGCAAGGGCTGTGGCTGCGCGTGGATTGTGACTATTAGTGGCAGGTGGTCAGAGGATAGGTCCAAGGATTCTTCAATGGTCAATTGCCGGTCACAGATGCCTTTGTAGACAGCGAAGTCGATTGCCGAGGGCCTGAAACATTTAAAATAGTTGTTTACTTTCATTATGTCTCCGTCTTTCACCTTGAGAACTTATTAATGAGTTAATCTTTTAACCTGCACTTGTTCAGCTTATCAACGACTGTCAAACATCTAGCCCGATGCTCAGACACAAAATGTTTCAACATAAATACATACATATATGCATATGTATAGGTATGCTTAAGGCCAGCTGTTTGAGTGTAGCTCATGACATCATCAGCGAATACAGAGAAGGAATAAACTAGTTTTTCGTGAGGGCTCCGCAAATGGCATAATAAATTTGAGTTAAAAAAAAAATTCCAAATTTTAATTGATACAGTCTAGTAGTCTCGTAGGCTTACTTAAGAAATAAACAAAAAAAAAAATATATTTTTTAAGCATTTAAAGCTCAACATTTTTAATTTCATATTGTTCTACGCTCTCTGCCCAGCCCTTTTGGCAACCACGTTGTTTGGCATCAACAAACACATGTTTAGCAGCAGCAGCTTTTTTTTGTTTTTGTGCCAAACACTGAGCGAGCTTTAAGAGCGCACTTCAACTCTCAGCGCTCTCAGTGGACAGCCGTTTTGTTGTTGTTGGCATGCCGGCTTATAGCAAAGCCAATGGCGATGGTATATGGTATATGATAGCGTATGTGTATTGGTGAGCAAGTGTGACGCAGTCAAGAGTAAATTATTGCTCGAAACTGCCCACGCCTCTCTCTTGCACTGTCCGCTGTCCGCTGTCAGCTCAACGGCATGTGCACATGTAAACGTGTTCATTCGACGTTTTATATTTGCGACTAAGCACAGTCGCAATTCGCTCTCTTTCCCTCAGCCAGAGCGATGCTCTTGAGACAAGTTGCACGCGCGTTCTCTTAAGTTGGTTCTAACTCGTGCTTGGGCAAATGCCGTATAATTTTTATATGAAATTCACTTCTAGTTGAGACGTTTAACTGTGCGGTTGTCTACATTTTTTATGCGGCTTATAAAGTGAAGAAATAGCGACAAAGCAAGAGCAATAAAAATCAAAAGCAAAATACAAAAACAAAAAAAAAATAGTGTTATTTTTGTGCGCAGCTTTGTTATATTCGAACGTTCTAATAAAATATGCCATGTGCTTGAAAAGCGCAAATTGAAAGAGAGAGACAGAAAGAGAGAAGAAACAGGCGAATTTAAAGCTAACGTCATCAACAAACAGAAATACATTAAATACACACATATATATTTATGTATATATACATATATATAGAAAGATACTTTCAAAGTGCTGCTGCAGATACAAACGCGTGTGTCTAGGTGAGAAATTAAGAGCGTACTTAACTTTCCATATTGTGAAAGAATGAAGTAAGAAGAAGATTGTGCCACATGCACTCACACACACACATTTATATATAAATATATATATATATATATGTCAAAGTTGAGGCGACGAAATGCCAAAGAAGCAAATGAAATCGAAGTGAAACCGCAGTCGGCGATACAGTTACAACTCAAAATATTTGAATGAAAAAAAAAAACAATAGGCAATCTACACGCACCTACATACACACACACAGTACTTAGGTAGCTTTATACTTGCATATATAGATATTTAAATATACACATTTATGTGTATATAGTTGTATATATATATATTTTACTTATATACTCGAAATAATTTCTATTAATAAATCGCTTTACATTGTGCAAATCCAATCAATCGAGCAGTGCCGCTAATCAAAATTGTGATAAAAAAAATATCGAAACGTATATCTATTGTTGAAGTAAACTGTTCTCTGAATGGCAGTTTACTATAGCTGTTATTAATTATATCTCTATATTACTGTTTTATGGTTGTTATGATTGTTATTGCTTGTTGTCATTGTTGTCGTCGACATCGTTACAGAGCCAAAACAGCGACCTCTCGCTAGTGAATCAGCAAGCGCAATCTCTTATACGGCAAGCGGACGCCCGCAATCGCCAGTTGATTGAGCAGCAGAACTCAGGGCTAAATCGTGATTGGCAGGACCTGGTGCATAGCCTGGAGCAGAGAAAGGATAAGCTGCAACAGTTGGCCGAGCATTGGGATAGCTTTGAGAACGGTCTGCACGGCTGGGAGAAGGCATTAGGTCGCTTGGAGGATAAGTTCCGCAATGTCGACCCAACTGTAAGGTCGCGACGTCATTTGGAAGATACAAAGAATGCCATTCAGGTGAGATTAACCTTTACAGAAGCTTAAATGAACACACACACGCACACATACATACATACATATGTATAAACTGTTGTTAATATATGAGCTCACAAACTTAATTGATTTATTATTGCTACTACGTGCGCATGCATACATATACATATATATGTATGTATGTATGTATGCTGCGTGTGTGTGTATATTCATTCATTCATTTAGTTGGGCCCCTCCCCTAACGGCTGTAGGCATGCCGCAAATGTTTTGCTAATGTCAGACTTTATATACACACGCACACTATGTTCCCCCATATACATGTTTACATACATATACTTTTGGCAAGTTCATGGTCACATGCAGCCTATGTACAGAGAGCTTGCGCGCTCTCTTACTAAAAGCACGGCTTTGGCTCTCACTGTCCCTCTCCTTACCCTCTCTTCGACAGCTGTCCGAACTGTTAATGATTGACTATGTAAAAGCTAAAAACAAAAGTTTAATTTGTAACTTTCAGTTTCTTTTGGCTTATTTTTGTGTTTTTTGCTTTTTTCTAGTCACAGCTTCTAGCTAAATATTTTTTCTATTGTCCCATTATACAACTGCTACTATAGCATTTAGCAGCATTTTTGTTTTGTTTTTGTTTTTGTTATCAACAATCTGAGTTTTTTTATTTGATTTTCTTTGCATGACTTCATGGCTACAGATTACTATTTTTGCTTTTATATTTTGTTTGTGTTAAGAGCGAAAAAATCAGTAAAAATGTAAAACTTATCATTTTAATGCTAAAAATAGCTAAGGTTTATTTAAAGCTAAAGATTTGAGGCAACAAGTTTAAATATGGCATATAAATTGATTAATGAACAAGAAGAGTTAAATTAACAATAAATTTAACATAATAAATAAAAAATAAAATGTTTGCAATAAATATATTATTTCATTGCCTTTTTTACAATCTAAATCGAAGAATCAAAACAAAATTATATAAATTTTTTAGTCTAATTTTTTTTTTAGGATTGTAATAGGAAAATTTAAAGTAAAAGTAAAGAAATCTAATTTAATTTAAATTGAAATTTAATGTTTTAACTTTTATTTAATTAAATTCTCATAGATTATAATCACGTTGCGTGTTATAAATATTAAAATTCTTCAGCAAAACAAGTCAATTAGCAACTTTTTAGCTTACGAAAATACTGAGAATTCCAACTACATTTCAATTAATTCTATAGTATTATCAAGTCGTAAAACCTTCACACTGCCATCCAATACAATTCATTAATGCTGTTCTCATATATATCTCCTTATTTACTGTGTATAGCAAATGCAAAAAAAAATTAGTTGCGTTACCCAGTTAAACAAATCCATAAAAAAAATTAACTTTTTGTTTTCTTTTTATGGATTTTTTTACTTGTTTTATTTCAATTTTTTTCCGTTTTTCGAGCTTGCCGCAAATATTTTATGTTTTTTTTTTGTCTTTTATTTTTTATGGTGTTAACCTTCGTTTTTTAAGCTTATAAACTGGAATTGAATTAAAACGTAGCGTACATTTGTTTTGTTTGTGTTTGATCGAACGAAGCAGAAAAGAATGAAGAAAAAACGAAACAAAAATACAAATTTGTAGTTTTCTGCCTGTGTTTGTTCTACTAATTAGAATTTATTATTATTTTTTTCTGGCTGTTTAGGAACTGCGTGAAGAATCAAATGAACTTAAATCATCACATAAAGAAATCGAAACGCTCTCAAAATCCATCCTCACATTCCTTGGGGAAGTACACAAACCCTCGGCGGAGGCCATACAGGCCAAAGTGGATAAGTTAGTTGAACAGCAAGCAAAGTGAGTACAGGAAACTTTACTAAATATATAGACATATATATATAATAGATTATTATTATAGTTGGCTTATGTCTATATACAGTTGCAAGCTATCTGTCTAAGAAATAAGTGGCAAAGGGGTGGAAATTATTGTGAAAAAATGTTGAGTTTCATTCAACTATCTTGAAGTCTTTACTGAATAGCTTATATGGCAGGTAGTTGAGTTTTAGTGATAATAAAGTGATTATAATGTCTTAGATTAAAGATTCAAATTTAACTTCATAATAAAAAATAGTTGACATTAGGTAACTTTACCTTTATAGTTAAATATAAACAACAGCTTCGTTGAAGTTCGACGTACCAATGATCGATAAATCTGTCAACAAGTGTCAAACAAACCTAAAATAATCTAATGTAGTGAATCTGATTTGAGTCTGATTCGAAAGTTGAATTTCATGAAAGAAAAATATGTACTTAATGCTATGACTTTAGTTAAAGTTCAATCGATAAATCAATGATCGATAAATACGTGAAAAACTGTTTACTTTAAATATAAGAATTCAATTTGAACTATGACTATAAACAAATATATATGGTATATACAATGTATCTATATTATATATTGGCAATAAGTGCCATACTTTTCCTTATTTATTATTTAATTTTATTTATTTGTAAACTTATAGCAACAATAGAACTAATAGGCCGTGACGTTTATTCAATTCCAATCGAAATTTCAACGCCGGAAACCGAATTGAAAATCGTGTTCGAAATCGAAATCGAATTCGATTTCGCTGCATAAAAACATTTCGTTCTATAATTGATTTGCGTTTAATGTTAATTTATTGTGACTAAATTAACTAGTTGTTTTCATACCTATTTCACAGCATTTAAACTGGTTCCACAGACTCGCGCGCATAGAGATAGGTAGTTGGCTATATTGAGGAACAGCAATATGATTCGTGGACAACTTTTGGTTTATATGGCAGTCTGTGACATCAGTTTTCAGTTGTTTTCAGTTTGTTTTTTTTGTTTTCGGCTCGCTGAGCCGCAAAGCCCTCGAAATTTCATGCACAACAATCGCTCGCTCTCGCTCTCTCTACCTCCGCCTCCCCCTCACGCTCTTTCTCTCTCTGAATACCTCCGGCTCTCTCTGACGTCAGGGCAGTGGTTACGCTCGGTTTGTAGCTCGAGACATGGCACTTACATAAGCCAAGTTTTCTGTGGTAGCATTAAAGTCAAGTTCTTGAGAATTGTGGATCATTACATTTTGAAAAAGAAAAGAAATTAAAAGAAAAGACACTCGCATTGCACATTAGACAGTGCCTGGTCAAAAGTCTGTTTACCCACCCCTTAATGGGCCATACCAACAGACGGGGCATGCCCACTGATAGCTGATAACGGTTAACTGTGCCAAAGTGTTGACGCCTTATCTTAGACTTTTACGATAATAGACAAAGCGTTGACGCCATAAATTTTATAATCATAATTATAAAAGATTCGCTCAGGTAGTTCACAATATGCGCTACAGTTTGTGACTCAGAGATTTCTCGAAATCATATAAAACTTCTATTCGGAAGGGTCTCTGTTGGCACTGTTAACTGAAGCATAGCAAATGCTCTACATTCCATATAGTATACGCCTTGTTGATAAGATTTTTAACAAAAAAACTTGTTCGTTTTTATTTCTATTTTTGCGGAAATTCTTTTGAATGGCGCTTGACACAAAGCAAAATAAAAAACAATATAAAAAACGCTGCCAATTTGTCAATTGGCTTTGCTACACACACACGAATATTGGCAACACGCTGCTAACAGCGCAACATTTGGCACTTTAACAGCAGAGAAATTCACCACGATTCGACTTAACAGTGCTATGTGTGCGTGTGGTCGTTGATCACGTAAACATTTTGCTTGGCAAGCAAAGCAAAGAACAAAAAAATTTAAAGAAAATAATGATAAAAATAAGAAAATCGAAAAAGACAAAAAAGAAAAAAGAAAAACATGCCGCGGCCTTTCTTAATGCAGCACTGACACAAATTTTCACCCAACACATGTGTGTTTATCTATAAGAAGTATATATTTTCCGTGTATATTTTCTGTTTTTTTGTTTTTTATTTTATTTTTATACACATTTTTCTTTCATCCGGCTGCCGTTGGCTTTCATGAAAAACGAGAGCAGCAGCTGTTAATTTCCTTTCTTCATTTCCCCATGTGCTTAACCAAATCTCTTACCGAATAACAATAATAGTTTTTTTGTGACGTATGCCATATGGAATTAGATCGCAGATAGATAATATTTACTGTGGCCAGCACAATGTTTTCGATGAATATCTTGTTTGTTTTCAAACGTTTTTGGTCACTTTAATAATTGGGAAAACTATTGAAAGCCTCATGACAACACTTGTCCATTAAGTTACATTTGCTTGACAGCTGCAGGGCGCTGCAATTAACATTTGCATTAACATTAAGCCTAATGTGTCTGTTAGCCAACAGCTGTTAGTCATTCACTTAGGCAATTGTAACACTAGCATTAACTTTAATAGCTGTTAGTCAACAGCTGTTATGCAATTATTCTAATGCACTTTAATGTGATTAGATCTATAAGATATATATAAAAATAACTTTTAAAATTTCTAAAGATATTTTTGTATGTATTTTGTAAATGAGTTATAGAAATTCACGTTTTATTTACAGTTAGTCACATTTCTGTTCAGCTTTTGACCTGAACTAAAATATTTACTCAACTCAGCACTTTTAGATAATTACATCTAAAATTAGCCATAAAGTAAACATTGAAACAGCTCTCACGTATCATATTTTGAACGAACTTCAGTTATGACGAGGCAAATATTGAAGGCATTTGTAAACGTTGAACTTTTTCTTATATTTTTACATTGTATACCTCTTCCTCGCTGTTTCTCTATACACTATCTAGAAACTCTAGTTTCTATACTCTCTATACTCTTTGTCTCCCGCTTTACTTCTCTGTTGTTCTCTACTCCTTCTCTTGTCTCTCTGTAAAGCATCTACACTTTATCTCTATTTGTTCTATTCTCTATATCTAGTTTCTCTGTTAAGCTTCTATATCAGCTCTCACTCTGTTTCTTTGAAGTCTCTCTAGCAATACTTCTTTTGTTGCCCAATTTGCATTTTCCTATTTAAATAATTTCTCACTTCGTCATATATTTTGTGCCTCAAATAAATTGACAATGCCATCATCATCAGCATCATCATTCGAAGCCCAACAAAAAATGATCTAATGCCCGAAAGTTTGCTCATCGACAATTATATATATAAATATATATCTATACTATATCTATATTATATCTATGTTCCTTAACTGCGACGCAAATTGCGTTGCATTTGTACTTGAGATTTACTTTTCGGCTGGCGAACATGCAAAAATCTAATCAACGCGAAAAAAACAGAAAAATTAAAAATACTTAAAAAGTTGCGTAATTCTTGAGCACTTAAAAGATATTCTTGTGTATTTCCAGGCAAGATTATTATCTATTTGTTTATAATTATTTGTGGATTTTTAAATCATTTTTGAGCTCTATCGATTGGTCAAAAAGAAAAAGCAAAACAAAGTTGATATAAAAATATATAACATAATATCAGTATAAGACCTGAATAATATTATAATATAATAATATAATATAACTATTTAATAAAGTCATTTACCAGAAATCGAGGCAAATTAAAAAAAAATTAAGTAAATTTTAGTCTTAAATTTTATCCACATGTATCCATAAATATAAATCGTGTTTATTTTGACTCTGCATACATTTTCCCTATGCGTACGATTTTATTTATCACTCACTGTTTTAATATCACTCAGATAAAACATTGTTTTTTTAATTAAAATTATTGACAACCTAATTTGTTGTTGCATAAAAGACTTTGCTCTAGAGTATACAAAAAAAAGCTGCAAAAATAATATATAAAAAAATAAATAAATAAAAACAAGCCTCAGGGCAAAAATAAAGTAATAAATGTAAACAAGACGGAAATCGCAGAATTGCTGACTTCATCGTTGAAAATACAAATTATTTAAAAAAATAAATACAAATGTAAATTATAAAAAAAATATGCAAAAATAGATTATTTTGCGCTGCATTAAAAAATAATAAATGAAATCAAAATACAACTGACAATTTAAAAAAAAAACAAGGCATATTTGCATTGTCAATTTGTCATTTCACACAAAACAAAGCGGGAGATAGAGAGAGAGACACACACAATCAAACTACAACAATAACGCGAAAACGTTGCCCAAATGAGGTAATCGCGTAATTATAAATTTATTTTTATTTTATTTTATGTCGTTTTTTTCTGTTTTAACAGTGCGCTGTTAACTCACGCGCTGCTGTGCCGTGCTGTTCCAATGCCATTCTGTTCCGTTGCCATTTGTTGTCTCTCAGCTCTTTGAGGTGCCGGCATTTTTTTGCTGCCCTCTTATCGAAACCGGCAAAAATGATTTGTTATTGCCTTATCATTTCGACTGCTAAACATGCAATATATACATACATAACAAGTATATATGTATGTATATATATATATGTTTATTATATTTAAATTGCATTTATGTTTATTTTTTTTGCGGGATTTTTGCATTAAGGCTACGTGCGGCATATTTGGCAGCTGAAATCAGCGGCGAATTTTTTGGCTTGCTAATGAGTGAGGCAAACTTTTGCCGTTCGCCGCAATTTCAATGCCAAGCGCATATTCAATATACAAATTGTTAAGTGTTGCTGGTGCTGTTCTCTTTCCCCACTCCCTCTCTCTCTCTCTTCAATGCGTGCGCCTGCTTGTTTGTGTGTGTGTGAGAGACCGTGGTGAGTTATCGGTAGCAACAGTTTTTGTTCTTTTATTTCCGTCTCGCATTCCCGCTGTTAACGCCGATCGTTCGCACGAACGTCGACTGAGACGTCGCGACGCTGAAACATTTTGGCAATTTTTGTGCGCTGAGAATTATTTTAGTTTTTATTTAGAGTTAGTTGCAAGCGGACGTGTTTTCTCTATAACTGGATGGCTGGAAACTAAATACGAAGAAGCGACCGCACGAGCATAATAAAAAAAATATATATATATCAAAATATATATATAGACGCATATTTTTAAAACAAATAAAATACAATTTAATTAGGAAGCAGTAGAAATAGAAGCAGCAAACACACACACACACGAAGAAGCAACAGCCCAAAGAGAAACCAGTAAAGTATTTAATTCGCATAACTGTGCAGCGGTCTCGAAAGCACCGTTAAGGCGCGCAGTTAAACAATTTGAAATACTATACGTAATATCTTTTTCGTTTCATGCACTGCACTTGCTCAAACGCCGCTTTGTGGATTACCAGGCGTATACGCAATTTGAAGAGCGTCAAGTTTTTAGCTGCTGAATTTCGCAAGAAATTCAAGTTTCAAGCAAAAGAAACAAACGAATTAAACAGTTGAAGAATAAGAAAAAGCAGTTAACAATTGTTCAGCACACGTCTGCCTCCCCAGTCAGGAGGTGCGATTGTTGTCGCTAAACAACTGGCAAACGAAGAAAATAATAAAGTCAAATAAAAGACAGCAGCTAGAGCTAGAGCAAGAGAAAGAGGCGAATGCTAATTGCTAACACGCACTCTCCAAAACGACGTCGTCAAAAGCAAAAGGTGAATGTTTATTAAACACAAGTTAGCTTAACTTAACTTCATTTCGCACTGCCTGCCGCGTCGTGTGGCATGATTAAGTCATCGAGGCCGGCTAAAAAGTCCGAGTCGTTCGGTTTATGCAAAAAACAGCCTCAATTTCTAGCCGGCTGTTGGGTTCGGGCCTCGGGTCCGGTCTTTTAGCGAGGTCGTCAGGTGTTGTTGTCTGTTGTTGTTCGCCGCTCGTTGTTCATTGTTGTTGTCTTTATTGAAAAGAGTTTTGCTTAGCGACGCGTGTCTCTGATTTGAATCGATGACGTCGCCGTCGTCGTCGTCGTATCAAAAATAGCCAACCTCAACCAAAAGGCGCTCAAAATGCTTATCGACAGACATTTAATTACAATAATTGATCAAACTAATGTTCAACGTTTTATTTTCGTCTGCTGCAAACAAACATATATGTATTTTTAAAAGCACACGCGTCTCCCTGTGGCTTTCGCTTTTCACTTAGTTTCGCTCGCATTTCTCACATTCTTGGCCATTTCAATTCAAAATATCCACTAAATTTAATACGTTAATTTGTATAGTAGTAAAATGGCAAATCGCTGCTCGAAATAGCTGCAGAAAAAAAAACCTGAAAAGAAAACAAAAATTAATCTGCAAGAATTTTTATTGTGTTATTTAAGGCTGAAATTATTTGCATGCTTCATATACCCTGTTGCCAGTGGCAAACTATGCTAAAGTCTTAAATAATATTTATGTTTGTTTATGTCAAAGGATTTAAGTTTTCTGGACTAATAGAAAATTGAAATGTGCAAAAATTTATTGAGCGAAAATTAGTTTTTCATAGGTTGTGGGCTTTATAGGCAGCTGTTGTTGCTTACAATTTGTTACTGTTGGAAATTAGTTTTTATGTTAAATGAGAATTTTAAATTAATATTTATGAGATGATGATGATGAGAGCACTTTAGTAGAATTTTAGGCATATTCAACGGGTAATAGAAAAAGTTGTTTAAAAAAATGAGAATTTCTAGATTACCTCAGATTAGATTTTGTCAAAAAATCTCAAGGGTTTTTTTTTATTTATTTTCATTCTTTTTGTGCGATTTTCCATTACAAAGAAAAAGCTTTGATGGCTTTTTCCTTAAATTATATTTTTTTATATTATCTAAACAATTTTCTGCTCTGAAATCGACAGTTTCGAGAGCTTTTCGAAATAGTTTACTTTTTATCTAGTTGAGCTATTAATGTCTTATTTATGATTTCATTTGTTTCATTTTAAAACATTTTTGCCCTTGCTTTGCTACACTTACTTAGCTCAGTTTCTTTCTACTGGGTATTTACTAGTCGTGCTCATCATAAAACTTTCGTTTTTTTTGTGCTTTTACAATTGATGCGCTAAAAACTGTTTTCGAAAATGTGGGTTCAGCCTCAGTTGGCTGCAAGCCAAATGTATTGACTTGGCCTCCTCAAGGCGCATTGCTCTTCCGTTTCAATAGTTGTTGTTGTTGTTGCTGTAAAGGGCAGCAGGCGACGGCGTCCTTCAACGCATAGCCATAAAAATGTTCGTGCACTCACGACTCTTTGCTAATGCTAATTGCTGCCTTCAAGTGCTGGCTGCTTGTCTGAGGCAGAGGCGAAACACTTGTTGGCTTCATTTAGCGCCCACGCGGCGTATGAGTAATGGGAGCATTAAGATCTGGAATAAAAGCAAATTAAACAACAACTGTAAAGTAAAGTAAAAGGCAAATAGAGATTGCTCTGAGTCATTTGAAATGCACGCATTGCCAGATGACGTCAGCTGCAGTTTGGTTGGCGTTGACCAAGTTTTGCTCGGCCTGCGAATAGATCGACATAATAAATATGTTTAAAAATATAAATGTCTGCATAAAAATAAGCGCAGCCGTTAAGCAGGCCGCGCCGCAACGTGTACAGCATAAATAACAATAATAATAATAATAGCAAATTTAAAAGGCACACGAAATGTTTAAACAAAATAAAAACTTTTCGAAAATGTGAGCGGCAGCGCGTAGACACGCTTCGCTCTCTTGAAAGAAAAGCAGTTCAAGGCATTTGCCGAATATACAAGAAAAATATAATTCGAATCCGAATTCGAATTCGAATTCGATTTTGAAATCGTGCCGTGGCTAGTCAAAATGTTCGACATCGCCATTCATTTAGAAAACTCTCTTGTAGTCAAACGGCAGCATTCATTTTCACGGAAATCTTCGCAAACGCCTCGAGGCCAACAGCTCCCAGAGCCCAGTGGATACACATAAAGAGCGAGATCTATACAATTCTGAACAACTTCAGCCATTTCGCTGAAAGAACTTTTCTATAATATATATCAAATATATATAGCTATAGAAGATATATATTAAATATATATAATTTTCTCTATATTGTGTGCAGCACGCGTTCTATTCTAGAGGAAAAGACGAACCGCGTGGTTTTTCACACACACAGACAGGCAGACAGATACTTGCAAACTGTTTACATACTATATCTATATTATAGGCAGCTATATTTTAGATACGTCATTGACTAATACGCCCCGGGCAAACGTTTCTTTCTCGGTTCTGCTCTCTTTTGGTTTCATTGCAGATTGAACGATACGCTACGCGATAAGGACCAACAGGTTAGCAGGGATCTCGAGGAGATCGAGCAAGTGTTCCGCCGCATCTCACAGCTGCAGGACAAATTGAACGCACTACACGAACAGCTTCAGTCCGTGCACGTCTACGACGAGCATATCGTCCAAACGGAACAGGCCCTCATCAAACTCAATAGCCAGGTGCAACAGGCCGGCGAGGAGAGTCGCGCGCTTGTCGCGCAAACCCAAGCGCTCTATCAAAACAAACAGAATCAATTGCCCAGTGATATTGCCCAGGAGTTTACCGCACTTGAACTGCTAGCGGAACGCGTGCAGGTAACTATGGAGACCAAAGAGAAGGATTTCAAGCGCGCCAAGACCGTACGCACGGACTATTTGGCCGGCGTCGATGAGATTCAGCGCTGGCTGCTGCAGGCCGAGGTGCAGGTGCAGGAGCGCACACTGGAGCCGACACAGATGAAGGAGCTGCTGCAGCGCATCAATCACGAAATCGGTGCCATCTATGAACGCTTCACCCTGGTCAAGACCAATGGCCAGCTGATCATTGAGAATTGTCGCAACAGCGAGGAGAAGACGCTGGTGCAATCGACCATTGATCAGTTGGCGGCACAGCTGGCGCAGGTGCGCGGCTGGCTGGATGAGAAGAAGCAGGCCGTCGGCGACAGTCTGGATGCCTGGACGCGTTTCATGAATCTGTACCAGATTGTCATGTCCTGGGTGGCTGATAAGCGTACCTTCATTGATCAAACGATCGAGCTGCGCACACTGCCCGAGGCGCGATCCAAGCTGAATGACTATGTGACGGCTGTGAAGAGTATTAAACCGATTGTGAAGCATTTGAGCGAAATGGACAAGGAACTGGAGCACATTGGTCAAGTGACAACCGTGGGCGATCTCAAGGACAAACTGCAGCAGGCCGAGGATGCGAAGATAGCCGTGGAAGCAGTGCTGCTGGAGAGGGTAAAGCGGATAGGAGTACAACCTAACCTAGAATATTTTTCAATTTTCGTTTCTTTTGTCTCCCCTTTCTGTCATCCGCAACAGAACTCGCTGCTGCAGGAGGCCTGCGAAGAGTGGGATCAATGTGAGCGCAAGATCAAGGACATACGTGCCTGGCACGAGAAGACCAAACAGACCTTGGACTCATCGCCACAGCAAAAGAAGCCGCTGCGCGATCAGCTGGGCTACTGTGAAAAGACTCTGGCCGACATAAATGTGCAAAAAACTAAACTGAGATTGTCTATTGAAAAACTGGAGGTAAGTGGGGGTAGCTGGCATAGCTAATCCGGTATGCATTTCCATGCTCCACCCTTCTGCCTTTTAGGTACACTTCCGCAATGGCATGGGCGGTGATCCACGCCTTAGCGAAAATGTTGACGATTTGGTGCGCGTGCTCGACGGTCTCGGTGAACTGGTGAAGACCAAGTCACAGAGTCTCGAGCAGACGCTGGCCCAAATCGATGTCTATCAACAGCAAATGCAAACGCTCCGGCAGCGTATTATACAGGAGGAGCAGCAGCTGCGTCTGGTCATGGCGCCCACGTACTTGCCGCACGATCGTGAGCGCGCATTAGCCGAGCAACAGGTACGTACTGTCCAAGCGCATCTCGAACTGTTTTCTTATGTGTAGAGCCCAATCAGAGCAGTTAGCAAATCAGCTAGCCAAAGCCAGGAACTTAACTCTCAGTCTAGGAACAACTCGATATATCTATCTATCCATATATAGCTCTCTAGTAGCGCTCGTAAATAACAGCAACTGTTAAGCTAAGCTGTGTACGAATATGTCCCGATTTTATCGATCCAGTATGCCCTTTCTTTCTCCATCATAATCATGCTAATTATTTTTATAAATATATTGAACGATTCTATACTTTTTTGATTTTGTGCTATGCAACAGTTGACAGAACAACCAGTTTGTTGGCCCAAAAGTTATTAACCCTCAAGTAACCCCAAAATAGATCAAGTTCAATTTTCAATAAAACTTTAATAAACCCAAAACAAAAAGATGAAATATTGTGCGGGTAGGTCCGGAAAAAGAAAACCAAAGTTGCACGGTGGCTGCGTATTTAGTTCTATATTAATTTATCCATATTTAAATTCATTATTTTTTTTTTTTTGTTTTAATTTGCCTTTTTTCATTTTCATTTTCTTTTGTTTTTAATTTTCAAGTGCGCATTAAATTTTCTATTTTCTGTTTTTATGCGGCATTAAATTTATGTAGAGAACAAAAATTTTCTTAAGTTTTTATTATTTTCGAATTCGATTTATGCCATTCATTTCTCATACACACACACACACGCACACTTACATTATTCATTTTTGTGCTCTCTTATGTTCTTATAATTTGCGAAAGGCAACAACAAAATCATGTCATACCAACCGTGCAGCTCATCCAACATCGAAAAACTCATTCGCCTTGTTCTGTGGCACAAATGATCATCTCGTACCCATATAGTATATATATGCCATGCTCGCTCTTATACCATATCATGCATACTATATATACATAAATACTCTTGATGCCCATCATTGTTATGTCTGCCTTGTCACAAAAAGAAAAAAAAACCGAAACATTTGTTGTGTCTGTAAAACAAATTCAATTCCGTTTTCGATTCATTGTCACGTGCCGTAAAGAAATACTCAAATAAGTTCTTGTTAGCCGGGGGTAGCCCAAAAAAAGATTTAATATAGAAAACATATTTTCGAAATGCTAAAAATTCTTTCTCCAGCCCATTATTCAGACAGCTATTTTAAGCAATGCCAGATTATTGCCTCAAATTTATTTCACACACAACAGAAAAAAAAGTTTATATAGTCATATATATATTTATAGATATAGATATATATATATATATATAGATAGAGCATAGTTTATATTAGTTTTAAATAAATTTCGTTTTAAGTTTACATTGCGAATTGCAGTGTTGGCGGTAAGTGGCAAATTATAAAGTCAATTTTAAAACAAATTCTAAAATTTAAAAACAATTTTCTAAAATTTTTAAAACAATTTTTCAAAAATTCTGAAAAAAAGAAACTTTTTGGGTTTTATCTTTTATTGACAGTAGCTAAATACTTTTTGGGGCAACTCAAGCTATGAGAACTTATTTACCATTCACCTAATCACCACGTACAGTTGAAACTCAATATGACGACACTCATAACATTTGAAATCGAATCAAGTCACATCACAATAAATCACTTTACATCACATCACATCACATTTCGTGGCACAGTGAACGAAACACATTACGCTTAAAGCTTAGATAATTTTTTATTTTTTAATCATTTTTTTTATTTTTTATTTTATTTATTTATTAAATTAGTAGCTTTATGGCCGGGCAAACATTCTCACATTAAGCCGCTCGAAGTCACAGCTATCTCTCTCTCTCTCTCTATCTCTCTCTTGTACCGTAATAGCGCTCTCAGTTTTAGTTACAAAGTATGGTTACGGTTTTAATTTAAATTATATATTTTATTTTTTTTTTGACAATTTGTTTTTCTTTTTATCTCTTCTCTTGGTACATTCTTATTGAATATAAAAATCTGGTGTCGTTGCGCTGAAAAAAATCAATTAAATTTTCAAAACACACTACATTAATTAAACATTAATTGAATTGTTCTTACTAATATTTGATAAACATGCTTCAATCTATAACCAAACCGGTTCTTGGGCTTTGCTCGCTTGCCTCTTGTGCTATTTGCTAAAACTAAACATAATTTGTGACTAACCCAACAAACTCCTCTCGATGCTGCTGCTATATATCCTCAACGTAACACACAAACACACACATCACACATACATACACACATGGGTATTGCGTACTTCTACAAATAAAATATATATATATATATAATATATACACACCTGGTATATGGTTGCTTTATCTTATGGCGTATTTATGCTCGCTGCCTACAAAATATATCAAAATTACGATTAAATGCTGACCTTATTGTAATTCTTCTTCGCCAAACATTTCTCTCTCTGTCTCTTCTCTCTCTCTTAAACAATGCACCATACGCATAAACAATATCACCCCCAAACATATATATATATATATATATAAATCTATATAGGCATGTCGTGAACGTGTCAAAAACTTGCATTCGAAAATAACCGCACGTAATGAGCGCATCAAATTGTTAATACATCGCGGCACGCCGGACGATGCTAAGCTAGAGATTTAGAGATGCCGCACAGCTATGGCAGACATTACTTATAAGTCATAACTATATATATATATATACACCGATGTATACTACATACATATACTAGAACTAGTTCGCCAAAGAAATGAAATGAAATTGAAAACCAAAGCAAATGTTAAGCAGCCACCGCGGCGTGTCATGTTTACAGCTGCCACTGCAACAATCTCCCAATTTGGCAGTGGCAACAGCTAAACATGTCAGATCAGCCGTAATATATATATATATATATGCATACATACATATATATACAACATACATGACCCACAGCTTAAGAAAATTTACAAAAAAAAAAAAAAAATTTATTAAATTATATATTATTTTTAAAATGAAAACCCCCACAAAGAGTATTTATTTAATTAGCTGAACCCAGTCTTAGACAGTTGATTTAGGTAGCTGTTAGGCCCATGATCTTTCAAACAAATGAAAGCTAACCGTTTTTTGGCAAATCTTCCCCCAATCTCTTTCTCTCTCCCAACACACACACTCTCTCTATATATCGATCGTTACCTGAACGCATAGGCAATGCGAGAATCAATCGATGGCATGCAGCAAAGCTACGACGCAACCGCCGCCCAATCCTATGCTCTGGATCCACATTCAGTGGTAACCACTTCATCGACTGTCTCGTTGCTTATGAAGCCAACGGCAGTAGGTCTAACCTATGCTGAAGTGTTATTAGGACATGCGAGTCCGGTAAGCGGTAATGAAACGGCGACGATCCCCCGACAAGAAATTCAAGAAACTCCCGACACGACCACGACCCAGACAACAATAACGACAAGTAGCCAACACCATCATGAACAACAACAACAACCACAGCAACAGCCACAGGCACAAACGAACCTAAACCAGCGCGATACAATCACAACAACGACAACAACAACAAGAACCACATTGACAACAAACGTACGCACGCAGGAGGTTGAGGAAACGAATTCGGAACCATTAACCACTGTGCTCTATCAGCGCAAACACCGTGTTACACCACCCAGCAGCAGTACTCCTAACGCCGACTATGAAGAGACAACCATCAGCAATTCCCGAGTGGAAGCGTCTAGCAGCTCATCCACATTAGATCAACAAGTTCCTAGCAGTAGCAGCAATCCCAACAGTCAGTTTATCGAAATGGAGCGCAGTCAGCAGCGTTCGAATGCGGGTAAGAAATTGCAGCCATCGCGTCCCGAACGTCGTGCACGTTCACCCCGACGCAGACGCGAACCACAAAGCACAGTGCAGGTGGATAGCACCCAACACCAACAGCAACAGCAACATCAGCAACAGCAGCAGCAATACCAACATCTCTATCTGCCGCAAGAAGATCGCGCGCGTTCGCGTAGCCCCATGTGGGTGCCGGGTTCGACATCGTATGCCGAAGTTTTGCGTGGCATGGAGCTGGAACGTCTAAAGGCCGAAGAGTTGGCTAGGCAAGCGGCCCAGCCGCATACAGATCTAACCATACAGGATGTGGTAGATGCCAGTGGGGCAGCGGCAAATATTTATGTGCCACATACCAAGCCGGAACAGCATCAGCAGTTCATGGGCGAGACTAGTGCCGACTTGGGCTATGGTCAACCGCAGCTAGAGCAGAAGCATTCGCAGTTACCCGGCTATGAAGTGCCCATGAGTGCGGAGGAGATTACCGCCACCTATTTGCAACCGGATCCACAACTCTATCAGACCATGTATGAGAATGTGGCCGACAGCGGCCAGTGGGGCTATGTGGCGGGCTCAAACGGGGAGCAGCAGGCAGTGCCACAAAACTATTACGATCAAATCATGCAGATGCAATATCCCATACAATACCAGCCTGTGGCTGTGCAGCCGACGACAACGCAGTACCAGCTGCTGACGGGCTATTATCAGCCTGTCGCGCAGGCTGAGACTTATCCGACGGTATATACTACGGAATCCTCACAAATCTATTATGCCCAACAGCCGCAGGAGTACGCACAGGAGTATAGCCAACAGCCCCAGCAGCAGCTAACGGATGTTAATACGGAGGTACCCGTCTATCAGTCGGAGATTGTAAATCAAACTTATCTGCTTGAGCCATACCGAGCGGAGGCAATTCCAACAACGACGTCTACAACAGGCAATAGCGTGCTCGACCGTGTGGTGACAACGCTCGCATCGATGGTGCAACAGAGTGCCGAGCCTCTAACAACGAGCACACAGCAAATACAGGCAACAGTTGTATTGCCGCAAACAGCTCATGAACAGGTGCCAGCGCCACAGCAGGTATTTATTGAGGAACATGTGCAAATGCTGCGACCAGTGGAGCCGCAAGAGTTTGAAATGAATGAACCACGTCCCGACATTACTTTTGGTCAGTTTGATGTCGATGCTATTGAGACCATACCCATTGAGGTGCCTCAGCCACAAACTCAGCAGCAACCACAACCACAACCACAACCACAACCGCAACCACAACCACAGCAAAACGTAATTACGACATTTGTGGAGGAGACAATTAGCTCACAACCGATACAGCCAACTGTGATAGCACAAAGGAAGGACACAGATACAGTTGTCGTTCGTCCCCAAGTGCAGCAGCCCAACAAGAATGTCTATCAGCAACAAGATCCCAGTGCTGGCAGCACCTATGCCGAAGTGCTATTTGGCCAACAGCATAGATCAGCACATCCAGTTTTCCAGCCATCCAGTCAACAGCAACATATTCCAGTACGTGTCGCGGCAGCCATGTCGCAAATCCGCAATGCTGAGCATGCAACAACAACAACGACAACAACAACTACAAAGCATACGACGTTAAGCACTACTACGTCCAAGGGCCAGCAAGGCAGGTGGACAGAAAAGTCCGATGACACCATTGAAGCAAGGATACCGAGGCCTAAACGGCAGCGACATGAACAGCAGCCGGAACCATTGCCCATCAAAGTGAGCAATAGGAAAGAGCCAAAAGCTAGCAGAAAGCATAAGTCTCCAGAGACAAATGGCGCCTCGATCGGCCATGTTGAGAGTGCACCAAAGGTAGTCCTAGTCGAAGAGATGCACAAGCCTGAGCCGAAACCAAGGAAGTCTAAGAAGAGCAAACATCTTTCAGAGGAGTTCTCGGACAAAAAGAATGTTGAGCCACTGCAGGAGGAAAAACAACCAGTGGAAACGACAATCACCAGCAAGAAGACGGCTAAGCCGGTTAGTGAAATTGTCAAGCAGATGAGAGATAGCAGCTACGAAGAAACTATTGTAGAGCAAACCAAGAAGGACAAGCAGAAGCCAACGATTGTTGTTGAAACAACGGAAATTACTTCAAAAACAGTGGAACCAATCGTTAAAGTAACAAAACCGGAAACAATTGCGGCAGTTGAAGTTACGCCCACTGTTAAGGCTCCATCAAGGAAAGACAAAAAGAAAACCAAAGCTGAAAAGGTAGAAACTGTAACTGTATCGAAGAAGCAGGTTGATCCTGTTAAGGAAGTCATCAAACCACATGAAGCAGAGCCCACAGCACCCTCGAAATTAGATGAGAAGAAAACGATCACTTCGTCTTCTGCAAAGCAAGTTGAGCCGGTCGAAGAAATAATAAAGCCTGCAGAAACTATTACAGTCGCACCCATTGCTGATCCATCATCGGTTACTTCTGCTTCAACCAAAAAGGATAGGAAGAAGACAACAACTATTGTGGAAACTACAACCACTACGACTGCTGAAAAGCTGATTAAGCCAGTTGAAGAAATTACTAAGCCAGCTGAAATCGAACTTGTTGTGACAACTGTTTCAGAGCCAACTAAAAAGGTTGAACCTGTTGTAGAAACTGCAACTGCTACAGTCAAAAAGGATAAGAAGGCAGCTATTATTGAGACATCTGAGAAAATAGTTCAACCTGTTGTTGAAGTCACTAAATCTGTTGAAACTGTAACCGTGACGCCTGCAGCTGAACAAACTCCAGCTGTTTCTGCTCCGACTAAAAAGGATAAAAAGAAAGCTTCGGAGAAAAAAATTGAGCCTGTTCAAGAAATCCCTAAATCTGCTGAAGCTGATCAAACGCCTGCTGTAGAAGAAATAATTAAAACAACTGAAACTATAGCAGTGGTAGAGCCTGCTCCTAAAAAGGATAAAAAGAAATCGAAAATTGTGGAAACAACAACTGTCACGCAGAACATAGTGGAACCTGTCGTAGCAGTTAGCAAGCAGACGGAAAGCGCACCAATTGTGGAAATTACAAATATCAAAATTCAGCCAGTTATCGAAGCTGTGACAGAAAAAATCGTTGAAAAATTGGTTGAGCCTGCAATTGAACCTGTTCAAGTGAAGAAGGATGAACAGTCGCCAAAGGTTACAGAGGAATTAGTCATGGTGCAACCCACAGTTCAGACAGAAAAATCGAATAATGTTGAACCACTTGTGGAAAGCCTTTCTCAAGTATCTGAGCCTACAACAGTATCAAGGATCGATACGAATGAAACCTTACTGGAAAGCCAGCCAGTAGTAACAACGTCGACCAACACGATTTCTACAGAAAGCGGCACAACTACAATTACTACCAGGACCATAACGAAACATATTACCAAGCGCATTGTTAAGCGTATTATCGATGGTAGAGAGGAAATTGTAGAGGAAGATGTCATCGATGACTTACCCGAAGAGAATATATCTGTGGAGCAATTTGATTTGCCTTCAGTTGAAACGACAAGTTCTGTGCCCGGCAGCATCATCATGCCCGGACTAAGCTCAACTCTGGATACAACTGTTGTGCAGGGCGGCTCAATTACAAAAACTACAATAACTAAGACAAAGCGTATACTCAAACGCATCACCGCCGATGGCGAAGAAATTGTGGAGGAAGTATATGAGGATGAGCCCGAGGTGGAGCGCGATATAACATTGCTGCCGACTACAGTGCTTACTTCCAGGAATGTTACGGCTCTGGATGAACCAGCCGAATCTCAAGCAGACATAATTGGTGCAGCACAAATTGCAGTCGAGGAAATTGTGGACAAAGCTGAGCAAGTGCTTGAACCCGAACCGCAAAAGCCATTGCGTAAGGACAAAAAGGATGAAGATACAGTTATTGTCACAGAAACTGTTAAGGTCGAGCCCGAAAAGAAACCACAAAAGCCGACCAGAAAGGACAAGAAGAAGCACAAGAAATCCGAAAGCGAAGAAATCAAACCAAAAACAGACAGTCCCATTTCACAAAACGTGGTCGAAATAACTGAGCCACAATCACAACTAGAAACCACAGAGCCCCTGAATACAACAAGTGCAATTACAACAGACGAGAAACAAACTCAGTCATCCGATGGATCTGTTATCAGCGACGATGGCAGTCTAATCAAAACCACAGTCATTCGTACAACTAAGATTGTGAAAAAGATAAACCAACAAGACAGCCAGGACATGTCCACATCGATCCATTCGGATGTAGCTTCGTTGGATTCCTATGAACTAGCCGAAGAAGCTGCCGAAGAACCCAAAGTCGAGAAATCTGAAATGAACAGTCGCGAGGTCAGCGATGAGGGTGTAGTTAAGACAACCAAAACGACGACTATTCGTACGATTAAAAATGCCAAAGCCGAACCAGAAAAGGAACTCGTGCCTGAAGCTATTACCGAAGTGGAGAGTACACCTGAAAAGAAATCGGATGTTGATGTATCACAAACTGAAGATGGTTCTGTTTTGAAAACAACAATTGTTCGTACTACTAAAATAATAAAGAAAATTACCCAGGACTCGGAAACCATAAGCGAACACAGTAGTGCTTCAGAACCTGCCCTGGAGACAGTTGAAACCATCCTACAGGATGCTCCAATAGTAGCTGAATCGGTAACCACGGAGTCGAACAGCGAAGGCATTACAAAGACTACAACCACGCGAACAACAAAGGCTGTCGTTGAGAGTGCAGAGATTCCTGCAGTTGCCGAGCCGCAACAGGTTGCAGATCTGCTGTTGATAACGCCAAAAACTACAGAGGTGCCGGAAAGTAGGAATATAAAGTCAACTACGCTGGATTTCATAGCCTCGGAAAAGCAGACTGCAGAACCTGTACCCGAGAAGAAGACGCGCAAATCGAAAAAACAGGAAAAACAAAAGGAAACTCCAATAGAAGCTGTGCCTAAGGCGAGTGTCGATATTCAGGTTGCTACTCAGGAACTTGTTGCTCCAGTTCAAGATGAACCTAAACAAACTGTTGACATTACTAGCGACATCGTTGCTGAACCCTACGATGCCAACATTAGCAATGATGTGGTTAAGACAACAATTACAAGAACTACAAAAATTGTCAAGAAAGTTGCCCAAAATGTTGATAAACAGAGCGTTAGTGAAGTTCAGGAAACCCAAACGCCTGATGAGCCAACTCCAGATGCTGTTGAGCCAACAAGTGAAGTGGCTGGTGGTGTAACCAAAACAACAACCGTGCGTACGACGAAAATTGTAAAGAAATTGAACGAAGATGGTGAGACAACAACAGAAAGCAGCACAATAAGCGAACCAATCACTGTGCGAGAAGCGTCTCCAACTATATCGGAATTACCAAGTGAAGCCTCAACCACATCTAGTCAAATCGATGGGGCCATCATTAAAACAACAACAATTCGTACAATGCGCATAACTAAGCGCATAACAAATGACGGACGCATAGTACTGACCGAAAGCGACACACCTAGCGATGTTATAGTCACATCTAGTATTGAAATGCCCGATCATAGATCAACTAGTCCCATTGTGTCCTCGAGGCTGGATTCAGCTCCACCTGTTGTCACATCTAGCACTGAAAGTAAATTTGCTAATGTTGGTGTCAATATTGAGTTGGGCATTAGGGATACGACAGGCAAATCTGGCGTAAAGGTTGTAGATATTGAGACAACTGAACTACCGACTGTCAGCACAGAATATACTTCGACGAACGGGGCTCTGAACGAGTCAAGCCGCATTGCCACTACTACAACGACAACTACCAAAAATACAATCCTTACAACGACCCGTCAACGTAGCTTCGAAACCGAAGATGGCACAAATGTCCTTTTCGTTGGAGAAGGCATTGACGGAGCCTATCCACCAGGCACTGTACAGAAAATTTCTCTCATCACTCATGAAGAGAAACTGAAGACTCCTATCGTGAAAATGCATCTAGATTTTCCGGAGGTTAGTCTTCGCGTGACCGAGACTGTTACCGAAAACCTAGAGTCCCTGCAGAAAACCGCCGAAACTAGCGAGACTTCCATGATTGAGTTCGCCGAATCCAAACCAGAAGTAGTAGAAACAGATTCATTGAAACATCAAAATGAAGAGCAAATTCCTAAGGTAGAGTCAATAGAACAGGTTGCTAAGACAGAGGTTGTAGACAAGAGTAGTGAACCCCCGTCTGACTTAAGTCCAGAGGAGCAGAAACTATTCGAAGATATTCAAAAGAAACTATCCAAAAAAGATAAGAAAAAGCGGCCAGCAATCCCCGAAGAGTTCATTAAGCAAGAGACAATTCAGGTGCTTGTTGAAGAAAGTAAAGGTAATGAAACAATTAAAATACCTATTGCAGATGAAAAACCATCTCCATCTTTCATCCCAATTCCTTCACCCGACATGGTTCTAGGGAACTTAGTGCAGAATCTTTCTCAAGATATATCATTGATTTCAAAAGCAAAGATCATTGAGCATGCCAAGGCTGATATACTATACCGTGAAAAAATGCAAGCAACGCCAGAAATTCCTTCTAAAACTCAAGTAGAAACGCAAATTGATATTCCATGTGAAATTCAGTTACTCCCCGACCCTACTAATATTGCTAATCAAATTGTTCCTGCCAAGCCAAGCGCATTAACTGCTGAAGCATTTGTGGTTAACACGGTAAGCACTTTAAATATCACTAATATTCCAACTATTTGCCCAGCTGATAAAATTTATGAAATTCCCAAATACAATTTATCTCAATTCAATATTGCTGAGAGCGATTATCACAAAATCAATTCGAAGCCCACGTCTGTCGAAACTCCATTACCTTCGTTATCTGCAGAACCTTTACCGGTTGTAAGTACGGTAAGCTCTGTAATAACAGAAACTTTAGTTGTTGCTTCCCCTGAACATCCCAAGCAACTTCCCACTGTAAAAGATAAGATATATGAAATTCCCAAATACGACATGTCTTCATTTGAAACTGCTGAAGGTTATTATCACATAATCAATGCCAAGCAATCTCCGGAAATATCTTCAACACCAGTCGAGGAACAGCAACCAGCTGTCGCGGAACATTTAATTACAAAACACTCCGATGATTCTCCTGTTGAGACTCCTTCACTTGAAATTGAAACAACAAAATCCATCTCTAGCCCTGAAGAGCAGACTCCCACAACAACAGAGAGGGTATTTGAAATTCCAACATACGACATCCGTTCATATAATACTGCTGAGGGTAAATACAACATTGCCAAAACTAAACCTGAAGAAATACCGATAGAGCAGAAACACCCTGTTGAGTCGCCCTTGATCGTTGAAACTGACGTAGTTAAAAAACAAACTGTGGAGGACAACAAAACTCAAATTGAACATATCACAGAAGTCAAGGATGAAAGGCCTTCCGTTTATAACTACGAGGTTCCCAAGTATAATACTTCTGATCAACGTCGAGCTGAAAATCTTCTCGCAGTAATTCTTCACGATTCTGAAGCACCACAAGTGGTAGATATCAAGCCATTGGAGGCTAACGCTGAAACAAATACTACAATTGTGGAAGCAGTCAGCGAATCTGAAACAGTGAAAATACCACTGAATGTGGAAATCGAAAAGAAACCAGAGGAGCGCAAGAATATACAAGAAGAACCAATACAGAAACTTCCAGTCGAGAAGACATCCGTAACAGTGACAACTACTACCACTGTAACTGAAACTGTTAGCGAGACAACTCTCCCAGAAGATCCCAAGAAGGTTGAAGCAGATAAGAAACCTGAAGAGCCGAAGAAACCAGCATATGCTGGACTGCCTGTAGATGATTCGAGTAGCACTTGGATGGACGTTCTGGATGAACCAATGACTTTCTCTGATGACGAGGAAGAACCAACAAAGGAAGTTCCAGTTGAGGAAGTTCCAGTTGAGAAAGCGCCAGTTGCTGAACCTGTTACAACAACAATTACAAAGACAGTTGTTGAGCCCGAGAAGGTTGTTGAGTCTTCGGTTTCAGAAGATACAAAGACAACAGTAACAGTCACATCAACTACTACTGTAACTGAAACTGTTAGCGAGGCAACTCTCCCAGAAGAACCGAAGCCGGTTGAACCCGAAAAGAAACCTGAAGAGCCGAAGAAACCAGCCTATGCTGGACTACCCGTAGATGATTCGAGTAGCACTTGGATGGACGTTCTGGATGAACCAATGACTTTCTCTGATGACGAGGAAGAACCAACAAAGGAAGTTCCAGTTGAGGAAGTTCCAGTTGAGAAAGCTCCAGTTGAGAAAGCGCCAGTTGCTGAACCTGTTACAACAACAATTACAAAGACAGTTGTTGAGCCCGAGAAGGTTGTTGAGTCTTCGGTTTCAGAAGATACAAAGACAACAGTAACAGTCACATCAACTACTACTGTAACTGAAACTGTTAGCGAGGCAACTCTCCCAGAAGAACCGAAGCCGGTTGAACCCGAAAAGAAACCTGAAGAGCCGAAGAAACCAGCCTATGCTGGACTACCCGTAGATGATTCGAGTAGCACTTGGATGGACGTTCTGGATGAACCAATGACTTTCTCTGATGACGAGGAAGAACCAACAAAGGAAGTTCCAGTTGCGGAAGTTCCAGTTGAGAAAGCTCCAGTTGAGAAAGCTCCAGTTGAGAAAGCGCCGGTTGCTGAACCTGTGACAACAACAATTACTAAAACAGTTGTTGAGCCCGTGAATGTTGTTGAGTCTTCGGTTTCAGAAGATACAAAGACAACAGTAACAGTCACATCAACTACTACTCTAACTGAAACTGTTAGCGAGGCAACTCTCCCAGAAGAACCGAAGCCGGTTGAACCCGAAAAGAAACCTGAAGAACCCAAGAAACCAGCTTATGCTGGACTACCCGTAGATGATTCGAGTAGTACTTGGATGGACGTTCTGGATGAACCAATGACTTTCTCTGATGACGAGGAAGAACCAACAAAGGAAGTTCCAGTTGAGGAAGTTCCAGTTGAGAAAGCGCCAGTTGCTGAACCTGTTACAACAACAATTACAAAGACAGTTGTTGAGCCCGAGAAGGTTGTTGAGTCTTCGGTTTCAGAAGATACAAAGACAACAGTAACAGTCACATCAACTACTACTGTAACTGAAACTGTTAGCGAGGCAACTCTCCCAGAAGAACCGAAGCCGGTTGAACCCGAAAAGAAACCTGAAGAACCCAAGAAACCAGCTTATGCTGGACTACCCGTAGATGATTCGAGTAGTACTTGGATGGACGTTCTGGATGAACCAATGACTTTCTCTGATGACGAGGAAGAACCAACAAAGGAAGTTCCAGTTGCGGAAGTTCCAGTTGAGAAAGCTCCAGTTGAGAAAGCTCCAGTTGAGAAAGCGCCGGTTGCTGAACCTGTGACAACAACAATTACTAAAACAGTTGTTGAGCCCGTGAATGTTGTTGAGTCTTCGGTTTCAGAAGATACAAAGACAACAGTAACAGTCACATCAACTACTACTGTAACTGAAACTGTTAGCGAGGCAACTCTCCCAGAAGAACCGAAGCCGGTTGAACCCGAAAAGAAACCTGAAGAACCCAAGAAACCAGCTTATGCTGGACTACCCGTAGATGACTCGAGTAGCACTTGGATGGACGTTCTGGATGAACCAATGACTTTCTCTGATGACGAGGAAGAACCAACAAAGGAAGTTCCAGTTGAGGAAGTTCCAGTTGAGAAAGCGCCGGTTGCTGAACCTGTTACAACAACAATTACAAAGACAGTTGTTGAGCCCGAGAAGGTTGTTGAGTCTTCGGTTTCAGAAGATACAAAGACAACAGTAACAGTCACATCAACTACTACTGTAACTGAAACTGTTAGCGAGGCATCTCTCCCAGAAGAGCCGAAGACGGTTGAGCCCGAAAAGAAAGATGAACCCACTAAGGGAAAGAAAGAAAAACCAGCAAATAAAGTTCCAGTTGAGAATGCACCCGTTACTGAATCTGCTTTCACTTCAATCAAAGACACAGTCAATGTGCCCGAGAAGGTTTTGAATTCGTCAGTTTCAGAAGATGTAAAGACGACACAAAAAGTTACTAAAACCGTCACTGAAACTGTTAGCGAAATTCAAGAACCAGAGAGTGACTCAGAAAATAGCCCTGCTTATTCAAACTTGACACTTGAGGGTCCAATTGACACCTGGTCGAGCGTGCTGGAGGAATCGTCGCCGAGCTCGGGAAGTGCAGTTTTCATATCAACTTTGTCTGCCGATGCTCCAGAATTTACGCCGTCTTATCTGAGGCCTGCATATGCTGATCAAACGCACACATTCCTTGCCAATGAAAGAGTATATAACGAGTTCATTCCACGAAGCAGAGCAGATCAACAAATGCCACAATCCAAGAAACCAAAGAAAGTTAAGCCAGCGAAGCGATCAAAGAAACCTGTAGATGAACCCTCGCAGGAAGTTCCTATTGATGCTGCTCCAGTACCTTCCACATTTGTTTTGGATTCAGAGACAATAGCAGAACCAAGTGTGTGGGAAAACAACAGAGACGGAAAGTCTTACGCAGACGTTTTGTTTAGCGCAGGCGACAATTTGAAATCACAAAGTTCGGAAAAGCCTGTAACAGTTCATGAATCAAAATTGGAAGTTGATGTTGAGCCGTTACCCAAGACCGATAGGCCAAAAGAGCACAAGAAGAAGCCGAAACAAGAAAAACAAAAGCCTGTGGAACACATCCAACCAAATTTAAGTACAGATTCATCAAAGCCTGCCACCACTAGCTCTAAGGAACCCTCATCTGATGAGCGCGAAGCTGCGAAACCATCTGAACTGACTTGGTCTGCCTTAGTGCAGAGACCTGGAGAATGGACGGATACTACAGTAATCAAAAAGAAAGTAGTACATCCAGAGACAACTCTAGATGATAAAAAACCCAAGAAGGAAGAAAAACCAGAGCGAAAAACTACAAAAACAAAAAAATCAAAGAAGTCTAAGAAACCAGTTCAAGAACAAGTTTCCACCACCTCCGAGGATGAGAAGCAAGAACCTGAAGTAGCAATACCAACAACACATACAAAGAAAATAACAGAAACGATTATTGTATCGAAACCTGCAGAAATTATAGAGCCCGAACAATCTCCAGAGCACGAGTCGAGTGGCTTTTCATGGGCTTCGCTTGTAAAGAGACCCGGGGAATGGGTGGATACAACTGTGACGCATATTAAGAGTGCATTGACAACTTCAACGGAAAAAGTAGAGCCTGATCGTCATGAGCCAGAAAAGCCACGAAAGGTTCGCCCACAGAAGAAGGAACGAATTATATCTAAAAAGGAACAAGTTCCAGAGAAAGAGGAAATCATATCTGAACCAGTAGTTAAGGAAGTAATTCCGGTCGAAATTGATGTAGAAACGCCGACAACTGTTGAAAAGCCTGTGCCAAGTACTTCTGATGCGTTTTCTTGGGCTGCCTTGCTTAAAAAACCTGGTGAATTTGTTGATGATATAGCGGCCCGCAAAAAACCTACTGCCGTTCCGAAGGAGCAGCCCAAGCCAGAGCCTCGAACACGAAAAGAACGAATTCCTAAGAAGGCTGTGACAACTGATGCCGATGACATGAAGACGAAAGTTCCTAAGTCTAAAAGGGTAGAACCCAATATATCATCCACATCTGATAGTGATGTTATTGAGACCCCATTGCCATCAAT